AGTTTTTGTTTTAATCAAACAGTATTTAGGAATCTCTCTAAAATTATTTTGAAATCCCGGAGGCTGTCTATGAAATATTTGTTTTCAAGTCAAAAAATCTTTCTTTCAAAACGAAATTGATCCCAACATAGTTTAAAAGGAATTTTCCGTTCATTCTAATTTGGCATGGCCAGTAAGATCGTGCATGTGGTACAAATATAATACAATGCACTTCAATATATTTTTGTTAATTTTTTTTATCATTCTTAGATTTCGAAGTCTGAATGGTCATTCGGGCATAAAACAAAGATGAGTATATCATTATCGAATATGTAACGGGCATTAACATAATTCTTCAATTTAGATAATTGTACATTTATCTAAATATACACTTTAAGTCACATATACAATTGCAATTATTTTTATGAAAGTTTTTCCAAACATTGTTACAAACACTATCACAAGCATGTATTTTCAGATTCGGGTTAAGCTAACAGATAATCCGATGGATTCAGGTCACCACACCCGAATGTCACTAATGTGTTTGGGTCAATTCCTTGCTCAACTGCAAAAGCTTTGAGATCTGAAAGATTGTCATCATTTATTGTCGGCGTTCTGGTAAATAATTGTAAAAGCTTCTGACCTGTAACACAACAACGGTCATAATGATAGTAATAAAATATTCATAAACTGCAATCAGACAGGAAAAGTCAACTGCAGTTTTTTCGGAGCAGTTTTATTAATTTCAATAGAAATAAAACAATTATGAGACATGTAACCATATTAAGGGTCAAAAGTCATGAATATAACTCACCAGCTTCCATTGGAGTCAATGTACTGAAGAAAGTAGAATAGTCGGTTGAATAGTCGTGTGGATGGGAGTAGAACAATGGCTCTCCTGTAAATAAAAAGTGGATTTGCAAAATATCGCAATTCATGCAATTCATGTAACAAATTTACCTTTAGAAGGAGGTCTTATCTTTGTGCCAACAGAAAGCTGTTCTTGATAAAGCTTTGTTTCTATCTTTTCCCAGCTTTTCTCTGAAAGAAATTAAATGCCAATCATATGATCGTGGTATGATTAATTAATTCTGTGACTTCAATGTAATGAATATTCACAAGAACTGCATGATACAGAATGATTGCTCGGTTCACTAGAAACTAGAACCCAATGAAACTCCCTAATTTGTACGCGATAACAATCTTGAAGGTGAATATAAATCACTGAAACTCTCACCCAACTTCTGATTATGCCAAATTTGACCCAGGTGGTCGCGGTATAAATCTTCTGCAAAGGAGTGAGGATTCTGTGATTTATTCCTGTTATGAAACAAATAACATAGGAATTTTAATAATTTATCTCGTGTACATCGATATATCGTATTTTCCGGCGAATAAGTCGCTTTACTAGACCCAAACTTATGGCCTAATTTTTTTTGGGGGGGGGGGGTGAGGGGGGTCGTCTTATTAGGCGAGTATGGTAATTTTCATTTTTTTGGTGTCACCTTATTATGTATTAGGTAATGTTCTTTTATGGGGGACGCATTCGCGAGTTGAACACAATTAGATTAAAATTTAAAGACAGTTTGAATTCCTGTAGTTATTATGGATTGATTATTACAGTACAAGAAAACGTCATTATAGGCTATTTCAACCAATGCAAACGGCGACCGCTCAAAAGCCATTACATGGTAATTTGAGATTCCGATATTGCCGCGATATTACAACCCCGACTTATTGGCAGGTTATATGCAAAAAAACATTTTTTCAGGCTCAAAAACGGGCCTCGTCTTATTTACGGGGTAGACTTTTTCGCCGGTGAAATACGGTATATATTTTATTTTTATCAACTAGCAACGTTGTTTTCCTTTTGAAATACTACTCACTTGGGTAAGTTATAATAGTATAGACTCATCCCATTCTCTGTTACGTTGAAAGGTGCAACAACATGACACTTCCATAATACGTTCCAGGACGAGTCGTCCACACCAAGTGTGAGAAACCAGACTCCTTGCAACTGAGAGTAAGATGGAAAGTGAAATACGTTTTTACGCTTAGAGGGCTCGAAGCATTGGGTATTTTTTATATTTTTCAAAACGGATATTTTGTAAACACAGGTTTGTTTCGAAGTATTCGTATTTTTTTTTAGTAAAAAACACAGAAAAACTGCAGCGTTACGTAGCAATTACAACTCGTAATCGTTGAGCTGCATTCGTGAGACGGCGCAGGTCCATTACAAGATCACATTATTTTGTAACTGCCTCGAGTACGCATTGAAATTAGAAAATATTTTTTAAAATTCTTATGATGCGATTCTTCGTGTCATTTTCAACATATTTCGAAGAAAGAGCAATAGTGTTATTGTCCTGGAGAACATCTCAGGTACAAATTAGAGGTATAATACAATTAATGTTCAACAAATACTTTTTTATCAACTTACGCGTTCAAAATCAATATCATTTCCTGAATATATTTCTCGACTCCATGCGAACGATAAGAACAGAATAATCAAAGACAAGGAAGAAGTTGACTCCATCATCCCAGCCTTGTGAATATCTCAATGCGAATAATTGCTGGAATGACAGTGCAGAGGGAAAAACATATTAAATAGAAGCATAAATAGGAACATTATATAATGGGTCGTGATGCAAATATGTCATGATGTTTTTATTTTGTCTGCACTTTTACGATATTTTTTGAGTGTTCACTAGCATTTCCTTTGAACACTGCTATTGAAACGCAGAAACATTATTTACGTTCTATCTTTTAAATTTGTAAATTACACTTATATACGTACATTCAGGAAACAACTTTGAAAATTTAAATTAAAAATTTACATATATATATTGGCGAAATTGCATTAGGGGTTCATTTGAACATGAAGCCAAACTTATGTATGTCGCAAGGTGTGTTTAAAACGTAGAACCATGTCACAGCAGCCAGGTGTGTTGCAGATTAAAACAGATGAATCTATATCGCATTTTCTAATTTCAAATTTTGTATGATTGATATATATATATATATATATATATGTATGTAGGTAAAAGTCAAATTCGGAACTTTGGGTATATCCAGCCACATACTCAACAAATACACCACGCTTTGAATAAATCAATTTCTGAAGTGTCAACTACACCTGATAATGTTCAATGATGAAAATCAACAAAAATCGTTGTAATATTTCCGAATCATATGCTGTGCCCACGGAAGATCGAGTAATGTCGCAACTTCGTCGCAACCGTGGAACACGTTTCAAAGAATTGTAAATCGTCAAAATATAGCGTTTAATACTATTCATATAAAAAGATTAATGAGAGTTTCAGTAATTTATTTTCACCTTCAAGACTGTTATTGGCTTATTGCTGTAGTTAGTTTCCGGGAAACCAAAAAAATCATTGTATATTAAGTAGTTCTTGGCAATTTTCATTGAAGTGAAATCACTCAATCAATCAATTATACCAAAAACATATTTGATTGGCATTCAATTTGCTTTCAGAGAAAATCTGGGAAGAGATGGATACAGAACTTTATCAAGAACAACTTTCTGTTGGCAGTAACTTGGCGCAAAGATAAGATTACCCTCCCTCCCATGAGAATTTATGGAAGATGTTTCTAAAACCTGAATTGCGGTATTATACAAATCCACTTTCTATCTACAAGAGAGTCATGGTCCATTTGCATCATTCAACAAAATTTAGCCATTTTATCTTTTCCAATTATTGGACACGTCAGTGTACATAACGATCGTTTCGATATTATGTTGTTATTGTTCATGTTCTTCTCCGTCACCATAAAATCGTAATTTGATATTACCACCATAAATTGATTTTTTGCCAGAAGGCTATTACTTTTATTTATTTCAAGAATTTCTGTGGACTTCAAGAGATTAGTTTTTTATGTGTCAGAATAAAAAATAGCGACACCTTGTGACGTGTCCATATATTTGAGCTCAGTTCTCTTGTTCTAAACTAGATTTTGTCAATGTTCAAATATCAAGTTTGGAGACAATAGATTTTTTTTCCGCTATCGAAGACCGAAAGCGTTAAATGTTAAAGAAGTTTTAATATATATTTCTTGTCATCGACTAGTCAATATATCATAATCATGATATCCAAATGACATGTGCAACCCTTTTCTAAACCTATGGCTGCTTCAACCATTAGTCTAACAATCTGGCTTATTCAAGACAGCAATAATTTGAGATTGAGTCTACACAAATTAAATGTGTTAATACACCAAACGAGCAATCGATTTCTAGTTGATCAATCGCCAAATAGCCTTGCGCGGTATTCGTCGGTGAATGATAATATGACGGAAATAGTTTAACTCTAACTTATTCATAGCGAAAGTCATAGCTATTTTACTGATTTTTATTTCCCTTTTTGGGTCAAAAGTTTGACAAAGATTGATTTGTACAGAGCGTAGTTTACTTGCGAATATATCTCAGGCACGCAAAATTTATTTCAAGAAATGTAATGATAGAATGTAACGCATTTAGAAAAAGCTGTGCAATTGATAAATATTTACCTAACAGTACCACAATCAACATTATATCGTTTTTATTTCATATTTATTTTGAGAATTTGTGATAGAGAAGTGCATGAGCTGCGTAATTGATGATATCCCTGTAACGATTACCCCAAGTTTTATGATCAACGTTAATGCGTAACGAACGAAGAAGGCAAAGATTTAGCACCAAGACAGAAAAATTTATGAAATGCGGTTTCATACAGGAACAGAAAAACCCCTAGCTTTTATCATTTACTACTGGACCAATGCTACTTTTTTGCTACCTGAAAGTCGGAGATTTTTTGATAGTACTGTAAAATATAAGGTAGACTAATACTTCGTTTTGATCTCCGTGTACATATCTTTGAGTCATCACTCTCTTGTTCCTTGTCGCATCCATGTTGTCGTATGCGAGTTGTTAACTCGATCGCGTTGCATTAATTTGCAGCATCGTAATAGGATCTTTACACTATTACTACCACATAGCGACCCTGTTCAGGATTATACTTATAGTTTGTAGACTACCTTGATTTTTAAAGCATATATTATATACGAATATGGAAGGTAGGGTACACATCAATACTTTTAAACTGTTTATTATAATATGAAGTATTAGATTTTTATGGCTCTCTGTATATTGGAGTGATTATGGACGTCTTCCATCAAAATTCTACAGGTTAGGAAAGCCAAAAATGAACATGTTTATGACAAAAATTGGTTATGCCAAGTTTTTTTTTAATTAAACGATATTGAGAGCCTCTCTAAAATTATTTTGAAATCGCGAAGGCCGCCATTGAAATATTTTTTTTGAAGTCAAAAAATCTTTTCTTCAAAACGAAATTGATCCCAACATAGTTTAACAGGAATTTTCCGTTCATTCTAATTTGGCATGGTCAGCAACATCGTGCATGTGGTGAATACAATGTATATGCACTTCAAGATATTTTTGTTTTGTTTTTCTTGTTATTCTTAGATTTCGAAGTTTAAATGGTCATTCGGGCACAAAACAAAGCTGAGTATAAACATTATCAAATATGTAACGGACATTACCATAATTCTTCAACTTGGTTAATTCTACATTGATCTAAATATACACTTTAAGTCACATATACAATTGAAATTATTTTTAGGAAAGTTTTCCCAAACATTGTTACAAACACTATTACAAGCATGAATGTTCAGATTCGGGTTAAGCTAACAGATAATCCGATGGAATCAGGTCACCACACCCGAATGTAACTAATGTGTTTGGGTCGATTCCTTGCTCAACTGCAAAAGCTTTGAGTTCTGAAAGATTGTCATCGTTTATTGTCGGCGTTCTGGTAAAAAATTGTAAAAGCCCCTGACCTGTAACACAACAACGGTGAAATAATGATAGTAATAAAATATACATAAACTGCAATCAGACTGGAAAAGTCAACTGCAGGTTTTTCGGAGCAGTTTTATTAATTTCAATAGGAGTAAAACAGTTATGAGACATGTAACCATATAAAGAGTCAAAAGTCATGAATATAACTCACCAGCCTCCATTGGAGTCAATATACTAAAGAAAGTAGAATAGTCGGTTGAATAGTCGTGTGGATGGGAGTAGAACAATGGCTCTCCTGTAAATAGAAAGTGGATTTGCAAAATATCGCATTTCATGCAATTCAATGAACACTTTTACCTTTAGAAGGAGGTCTTATCTTTGTGCCAACAGAGAGCTGTTCTTGATAAAGCTTTGTTTCTATCTTTTCCCAGCTTTTCTCTGAAAGAAATTAAATGCCAATCATATGATCGTGGTATTATTAATTAATTCTGTGACTTCACTGTAATGAATATTGACAAGAACTACATGATACAGAATGATTGCTCGGTTCACTAGAAACTAGAACCCAATGAAACTGCCTAATTTGTACGCGATAACAATCTTGAAGGTGAATACAAATCACTGAAACTCTCACCAAACTTCTGATTATGCCAAATTTGACCCAGGTGGTCGCGGTATAAATCTTCTGCAAAGGAGTGAGGATTCTGTGATTTATTTCTGTTATGAAACAAATAACATAGGAATTTTAATAATTTATCTCGTGTACATCGATATATCGTATTTTCCGGCGAATAAATCGCTTTGCTAGATCCAAACTTATGGCCTGTTTTTTTTGGGGGGGGGGAGGGGGGGTCGTCTTATTGGGCGAGTATGGTAATTTTCATTTTTTTGGTGTCGTCTTATTATGTATTAGGTAATGTTCTTTTATGGGGGACGCATTCGCGAGTTGAACACAATTAGATTAAAATTTAAAGACAGTTTGAATTCCTGTAGTTATCATGGATTGAATATTACAATACAAGAAAACGTCATTATAGGCTATTTCAACCAATGCACAAACGCGGCGACCGCTCAAAAGGCATTACATGGTGATTTGAGATTCCGATATTGTCGCGATATTACAACCCCGACTTATTGGCAGGTTATATGCAAAAAAACATTTTTTCAGGCTCAAAAACGGGCCTCATCTTATTTACGGGGTAGACTTATTCGCCGGTGAAATACGGTATATATTTTATTTTTATCAACTAGCAACGTTGTTTTCCTTTTGAAATACTACTCACTTGGGTAAGTTATAATAGTATAGACTCATCCCATTCTCTGTTACGTTGAAAGGTGCAACAACATGACACTTCCATAATACGTTCCAGGACGAGACGTCCACACCAAGTGTGAGAAACCAGACTCCTTGCAACTGAGAGTAAGATGGAAAGTGAAATACGTTTTTACGCTTAGAGTGCTCGGAGCATTGGGTATTTTTTATATTTTTCAAAACGGATATTTTGTAAACACGGGTTTGTTTCGAAGTATTCGTATTTTTTTTTCAGTAAAAAACACAGAAAAACTGCAGCGTTACGTAGCAATTACAACTCGTAATCGTTGCGCTCCATTCGTGAGACGGCGTAGGTCCATTACAAGATCACATTATTTTGTAACTACCTCGAGTACGCAATGAAATTAGAAAATATTTTTTACAATTCTTATGATGCGATTCTTCGTGTCATTTTCAACATATTTCCAAGAAAGAGCAATAGTGTTATTGTCCTGGAGAACATCTCAGGTACAAAATTAGAGGTATAATACAATTAATGTTCAACAAATACTTTTTTATCAACTTACGCGTTCAAAATCAATATCATTTCCTGAATATATTTCTCGACTCCATGCGAACGATAAGAACAGAATAATCAAAGACAAGGAAGAAGTTGACTCCATCATCCCAGCCTTGTGAATATCTCAATGCGAATAATTGCTGGAATGACAGTGCAGAGGGAAAAAACATATTAAATAGAAGCATAAATAGGAACATTATATAATGGGTCGTGATGCAAATATGTCATGATGTTTTTATTTTGTCTGCACTTTTTCGATATTTTTTTGAGTGTTCACTAGCATTTCCTTTGAACACTGCTATTGAAACGCAGAAACATTATTTACGTTCTATCTTTTAAATTTGTGAATTACACTTATATACGTACATTCAGGAAACAACTTTGAAAATTTTAATTAAAAATTTACATATGTATATTGGCGAAATTACATTAGGGGTTCATTTGCACATGAAGCTAAACTTATGTATGTCGCAAGGTGCGTTTAAAACGTAGAACCATGTCACAGCAGCCAGGTGTGTTGCAGATTAAAACAGATGAATCTATATCGCATTTTCTAATTTCAAATTTTGTATGATTGATATATATATATATATATGTAGGTAAAAGTCAAATTCGGAACTTTGGGTATATCCAGCCACATACTCAACAATTACACCACGCTTTGAATAAATCAATTTCTGAAGTGTCAACTACACCTGATAATGTTCAATGATGAAAATCAACAAAAATCGTTGTAATATTTCCGAATCATATGCTGTGCCCACGGAAGATCGAGTAATGTCGCAACTTCGTCGCAACCGTGGAACACGTTTCAAAGAATTGTAAATCGTCAAAATATAGCGTTTAATACTATTCATATAAAAAGATTAATGAGAGTTTCAGTAATTTATTTTCACCTTCAAGACTGTTATTGGCTTATTGCTGTAGTTAGTTTCCGGGAAACCAAAAAAATCATTGTATATTAAGTAGTTCTTGGCAATTTTCATTGAAGTGAAATCACTGAATCAATCAATTATACCAACAATTTGATTGGCATTCAATTTGCTTTCAGAGGAAATCTGGGAAGAGATGGATACAGAACTTTATCAAAAACAACCTTCTGTTGGCAGTAACTTGGCGCAGAGATAAGATCACACTCCCTCCCATGAGAATTTATGAAAGATGTTACTAAAGCACGAATTGCGATATTATACAAATCCACTTTCTATCTACAAGAGAGTCATGGTCCTATTCTCATCCACGTGCCTATCGAACCGAATATTTAGTTTTCTTTAGTCATTTGACTTCAATGGAGAATGGTGAGTAATATTCACGAAATTTCCTCAGTAATTTTATCATGTTCCACTTGATGTTCACATGTTTCATCATTGTTTTACTCCTATGGACCTTTCCCCGACCTTTGACCCCCAAACAATTCTTCCCATACTTTACCATTGCAAAATTTTCGGGGCTATTTTAAAAGTGCTTTGGCGAGTTGGCGCCTGTAAAATAGGGTATGTGTTTCAAACCATCATTATGATTTATCGCATACAACAATCTGATGTTTAAAAGTATCGGTAAAGAATTTTAGCCTAGTCTATCACAGATATTTCTACACTAATTTTTTATAACATTTAATTATTTACCGAATAAAACAAGGGCCGTCACAGTTGCTTTGCTGTACAGAGGGTGGCTGCATTGCATCATTCAACAAAATTCAGCCATTTTATCTTTTCCAATTATTGGACACGTCAGTGTACATTACGATCGTTTCGATATTATGTTGTTATTGTTCATGTTCTTCTCCGTCACCATAAAATCGTAATTTGATATTACCACCATAAATTGATTTTTCACCAGAAGGCTATTACTTTTATTTATTTCAAGAATTTCTGTGGACTTCAAGAGATTAGTTTTTTATGTGTCAGAATAAAAAATAGCGACACCTTGTGACGTGTCCATATATTTGAGCTCAGTTCTCTTGTTCTAAACTAGATTTTGTCAATGTTCAAATATCAAGTTTGGAGACAATAGATTTTTTTCTGGTATCGAAGATCGAACGCGTTAAATGTTGAAGAAGTTTTAATATATATTTTTACTTGTCATCGACTAGTCAATATATCATATTCATGATATCGAAATGACATGTGCAACCCTTTTCTAAACCTATTGCTGCCTCAATCATTAGTCTAACAATCTGGCTTATTCAAGACAGCAATAATTTGAGATTGAGTCTACACAAATTAAATGTGTTAATACACCAAACGAGCAACCGATTTCTAGTTGATCAATCGCCAAATAGCCTTGCGCGGTATTCGTCGGTGAATGATAATATGACGGAAATCGTTTAACTCTAACTTATTCATAGCGAAAGTCATAGCTATTTTACTGATTTTTATTTCCCTTCTTAAGTCAAAAGTTTGACAAAGATTGATTTGTACAGAGCGTAGTTTACTTGCGAATATATCTCAGGCACGCAAAATTTATTTCAAGAAATGTAATGATAGAATGTAACGCATTTAGAAAAAACTGTGCAATTGATGAATATTTACCTAACAGTACCACAATCAACATTATATCGTTTTTATTTCATATTTATTTTGAGAATTTGTGATAGAGAAGTGCATGAGCTGCGTAATTGATGATATCCCTGTAACGATTACCCCAAGTTTTATGATCAACGTTAATGCGTAACGAACGAAGAAAGCAAAGATTTAGCACCAAGACAGAAAAATTTATGAAATGCGGTTTCATACAGGAACAGAAAAATCCCTAGCTTTTATCATTTACTACTGGACCAATGCTACTTTTTTGCTACTTGAAAGTCGGAGATTTTTTGACAGTACTGTAAAATATAAGGTAGACTAATACTTCGTTTTGATCTCCGTGTACATATATTTGAGTCATCACTCTCTTGTTCTTTGTCGCATCCATGTTGTCGTATGCGAGTTGTTAACTCGATCGCGTTGCATTAATTTGCAGCATCGTAAGAGGATCTTTACACTACTACTACCACATAGCGACCCTGTTCAGGATTATACTTATAGTTTGTAGACTACCTTGATTTTTAAAGCATATATTATATACGAATATGAAACGTAGGGTACACATCAATACTTTTAAACTGTTTATTATAATATGAAGTATTAGATCTTTATGGCTCTCTGTATATTGGAGTGATTATGGACGTCTTCCATCAAAATTTTACAGGTTAGGAAAGCCAAAAATGAACATGTTTATGACAAAAATTGGTTAAGCCAAGTTTTTTTTTAATTAAACGATATTAAGAGCCTCTCTAAAATTATTTTGAAATCCCGCGGCCGCCATTGAAATATTTTTTTTGAAGTCAAAAAATCTTTTCTTCAAAACGAAATTGATCCCAACATAGTTAACAGGAATTTTCCGTTCATTCTAATTTGGCATGGTCAGTAACATCGTGCATGTGGTGAATACAATGTATATGCACTTCAAGATATTTTTGTTTTGTTTTTCTTGTTATTCTTAGATTTCGAAGTCTAAATGGTCATTCGGGCATAAAACAAAGCTGAGTATAAACATTATCAAATATGTAACGGACATTACCATAATTCTTCAACTTAGTTAATTCTACATTGATCTAAATATACACTTTAAGTCACATATACAATTGAAATTATTTTTATGAAAGTTTTCCCAAACATTGTTACAAACACTATTACAAGCATGAATGTTCAGATTCGGGTTAAGCTAACAGATAATCCGATGGAATCAGGTCACCACACCCGAATGTCACTAATGTGTTTGGGTCGATTCCTTGCTCAACTGCAAAAGTTTTGAGTTCTGAAAGATTGTCATCGTTTATTGTCGGCGTTCTGGTAAAAAATTGTAAAAGCCCCTGACCTGTAACACAACAACGGTGAAATAATGATAGTAATAAAATATACATAAACTGCAATCAGACTGGAAAAGTCAACTGCAGTTTTTTCGTAGCAGTTTCATTAATTTCAATAGGAGTAAAACAGTTATGAGACATGTAACCATATAAAGAGTCAAAAGTCATGAATATAACTCACCAGCCTCCATTGGAGTCAATATACTAAAGAAAGTAGAATAGTCGGTTGAATAGTCATGTGGATGGGAGTAGAACAATGGCTCTCCTGTAAATAGAAAGAGGATTCGCAAAATATCGCAATTCATGCAATTCATTTATCAAATTTACCTTTAGAAGGAGGTCTTATCTTTGTGCCAACAGAAAGCTGTTCTTGATAAAGCTTTGTTTCTATCTTTTCCCAGCTTTTCTCTGAAAGAAGTTAAATGCCAATCATATGATCGTGGTATGATTAATTAATTCTGTGACTTCACTGTAATGAATATTAACAAGAACTACATGATACAGCATGATTGCTCGGTTCACTAGAAACTAGAACCCAATGAAACTGCCTAATTTGTAAGCGATAACAATCTTGAAGGTGAATATAAATCAATGAAACTCTCACCAAACTTCTGATTATGCCAAATTTGACCCAGGTGGTCGCGGTATAAATCTTCTGCAAAGGACTGAGGATTCTGTGATTTATTCCTGTTATGAAACAAATAACATAGGAATTTTAATAATTTATCTCGTGTGCATCGATATATCGTATTTTCCGGCGAATAAGTCGCTTTGCTAGACCCAAACTTATGGCCTGATTTTTTTTGGGGGGAGGGGGTCGTCCTATTAGGCGAGTATGGTAATTTTCATTTTTTTGGTGTCGCCTTATTATGTATTAGGTAATGTTCTTTTATGGGGGACGCATTCGCGAGTTGAACACAATTAGATTAAAATTTAAAGACAGTTTGAATTCCTGGGATTGAATATTACAATACAAGAAAACGTCATTATAGGCTATTTCAACCAATGCGCAAACGCGGCGACCGCTCAAAAGGCATTACATGGTAATTTGAGATTCCGATATTGTCGCGATATTACAACCCCGACTTATTGCCAGGTTATATGCAGAAAAACATTTTTTCAGGCTCAAAAACGGGCCTCGTCTTATTTACGGGGTAGACTTATTCGCCGGTGAAATACGGTATATATTTTATTTTTATCAACTAGCAACGTTGTTTTACTTTTGAAATACTACTCACTTGGGTAAGTTATAATAGTATAGACTCATCCCATTCTCTGTTACGTTGAAAGGTGCAACAACATGACACTTCCATAATACGTTCCAGGACGAGACGTCCACACCAAGTGTGAGAAACCAGACTCCTTGCAACTGAGAGTAAGATGGAAAGTGAAATACGTTTTTACGCTTAGAGTGCTCGAAGCATTGGGTATTTTTTATATTTTTCAAAACGGATATTTTGTAAACACGGGTTTGTTTCGAAGTATTCATATTTTTTTTTCAGTAAAAAACACAGAAAAACTGCAGCGTTACGTAGCAATTACAACTCGTAATCGTTGCGCTCCATTCGTGAGACGGCGTAGGTCCATTACAAGATCACATTATTTTGTAACTGCCTCGAGTACGCATTGAAATTAGAAAATATTTTTTACAATTCTTATGATGCGATTCTTCGTGTCATTTTCAACATATTTCGAAGAAAGAGCAATAGTGTTATTGTCCTGGAGAACATCTCAGGTACAAAATTAGAGGTATAATACAATTAATGTTCAACAAAGACTTTTTTATCAACTTACGCGTTCAAAATCGATATCATTTCCTGAATATATTTCTCGACTCCATGCGAACGATAAAAACAGAATAATCAAAGACAAGGAAGAAGTTGACTCCATCATCCCAGCCTTGTGAATATCTCAATGCGAATAATTGCTGGAATGACAGTGCAGAGGGAAAAAACATATTAAATAGAAGCATAAATAAGAACATTATATAATGGGTCGTGATGCAAATATGTCATGATGTTTTTATTTTGTCTGCACTTTTTCGATATTTTTTGAGTGTTCACTAGCATTTCCTTTGAACACTGCTATTGAAACGCAGAAACATTATTTACGTTCTATCTTTTAAATTTGTGAATTACACTTATATACGTACATTCAGGAAACAACTTTGAAAATTTAAATTAAAAATTTACATATGTATATTGGCGAAATTACATTAGGGGTTCATTTGCACATGAAGCTAAACTTATGTATGTCGCAAGGTGTGTTTAAAACGTAGAACCATGTCACAGCAGCCAGGTGTGTTGCAGATTAAAACAGATGAATCTATATCGCATTTTCTAATTTCAAATTTTGTATGATTGATATATATATATATATAGGTAAAAGTCAAATTCGGAACTTTGGTTGTATATCCAGCCACATACTCAACAAATACACCACGCTTTGAATAATTCAATTTCTGAAGTGTCAACTACACCTGATAATGTTCAATGATGAAAATCAACAAAAATCGTTGTAATATTTCCGAATCATATGCTGTGCCCACGGAAGATCGAGTAATGTCGCAACTTCGTCGCAACCGTGGAACACGTTTCAAAGAATTGTAAATCGTCAAAATATAGCGTTTAATACTATTCATATAAAAAGATTAATGAGAGTTTCAGTAATTTATTTTCACCTTCAAGACTGTTATTGGCTTATTGCTGTAGTTAGTTTCCGGGAAACTAAAAAAATCATTGTATATTAAGTAGTTCTTGGCAATTTTCATTGAAGTGAAATCACTGAATCAATCAATTATACCAAAAACATATTTGATTGGCATTCAATTTGCTTTCAGAGAAAATCTGGGAAGAGATGGATACAGAACTTTATCAAAAACAACCTTCTGTTGGCAGTAACTTGGCGCAGAGATAAGATTACCCTCCCTCCCATGAGAATTTATGGAAGATGTTTCTAAAACCTGAATTGCGGTATTATACAAATCCACTTTCTATCTACAAGAGAGTCATGGTCCTATTCTCATCCACGTGCCTATCCAACCGAATATTTAACTTTTTTTAGTCATTTGACTTCAATGGAGAATGGTGAGTAATATTCACGAAATTTCCTCAGTAATTTTATCATGTTCCACTTGATGTTCACATGTTTCATCATTTTTTTACTCCTATGGACCTTTGACCCCCAAAAAATTCTTCCCATACTTTACCATTGCAAAATTTTCGGGGCTATTTTAAAAGTGCTTTGGCGAGTTGGCGCCTGTAAAATAGGGTATGTGTTTCAAACCATCATTATGATTTATCGCATACAACAATCTGATTTTTAAAAGTATCAGTAAAGAATTTTAGCCTAGTCTATCACAGATATTTCTACACTAATTTTTTATAACATTTAATTATTTACCGAATAAAACAAGGGTCGTCACAGTTGCTTTGCTGTACAGAGGGTGGCTGCATTGCATCATTCAACAAAATTTAGCCATTTTATCTTTTCCAATTATTGGACACGTCACTGTACATAACGATCGTTTCAATATTATGTTGTTATTGTTCATGTTCTTCTCCGTCACCATAAAATCGTAATTTGATATTACCACCATAAATTAATTTTTTGCCAGAAGGCTATTACTTTTATTTATTTCAAGAATTTCTGTGGACTTCAAGAGATTCGTTTTTTATGTGTCAGAATGAAAAATAGAAACACCTTGTGACGTGTCCATATATTTGAGCTCAGTTCTTTTGTTCTAAACTAGATTTTGTCAAAGTTCAAATATCAAGTTTGGAGACAATAGATTTTTTTCTGCTATCGAAGATCGAACGCGTTAAATATTAAAGAAGTTTTAATATATTTTTTCTTGTCATCGACTAGTCAATATATCATATTCATGATATCGAAATGACATGTGCAACCCTTTTCTAAACCTATTACTGCTTCAATCATTAGTCTAACAATCTGGCTCATTCAAGACAGCAATAATTTGAGATTGAGTCTACACAAATTAAATGTGTTAATACACCAAACGAGCAACCGATTTCTAGTTGATCAATCGCCAAATAGCCTTGCGCGGTATTCGTCGGTGAATGATAATATGACGGAAATCGTTTAACTCTAACTTATTCATAGCGAAAGTCATAGCTATTTTACTGATTTTTATTTCCCTTTTTAAGTCAAAAGTTTGACAAAGATTGATTTGTACAGAGCGTAGTTTACTTGCGAATATATCTCAGGCACGCAAAATTTATTTCAAGAAATGTAATGATAGAATGTAACGCATTTAGAAAAAACTGTGCAATTGATAAATATTTACCTAACAGTACCACAATCAACATTATATCGTTTTCATTTCATATTTTTTTTGAGAATTTGTGATAGAGAAGTGCATGAGCTGCGTAATTGATGATATCCCTGTAACGATTAGCCCAAGTTTTATGATCAACGTTAATGCGTAACGAACGAAGAAAGCAAAGATGTAGCACCAAGAGAGATAAATTTATGAAATGCGGTATCATACAGGAACAGAAAAACCCCTAGCTTTTATCATTTACTACTGGACCAATGCTACATCTTTGCTACCTGAAAGTCGGAGATTTTTTGAAAGTACTGTAAAAGATGAGGTAGACTAATACTTCATTTTGATCTCCGCGTACATATATTTGAGTCATCACTCTCTTGTTCCTTGTCGCATCCATGTTGTCGTATGCGAGTTGTTAACTCGCTCGCGTTGCAATAATTTGCAGCATCGCAATAGGATCTTTACACTACTACCACATAGCGACCCTGTTCAGGATTATACTTATAGTTTGTAGACTACCTTGATTTTTGAAGCATATATTATATACGAATATGAAACATAGGGTACACATCAATACTTTTAAACTGTTTATTATAATATGAAGTATTAGATTTTTATTGCTCTCTGTATATTGGAGTGATTATGGACGTCTTCCATCAAAATTTTACAGGTTAGGAAAGCCAAAAATGAACATGTTTATGACAAAAATTGGTTATGTCAAGTATTTTTTTAATTAAACGATATTAGGAGCCTCTCTGAAATTATTTTGAAATCCCGGAGGCTGCCATTAAAATATTTTTTTTAAAGTCAAAAAATCTGTTCTTCAAAACGAAATTGCTCCCAACATAGTTTAACAGGAATGTTCCGTTCATTCTAATTTGGCATGGTCAGCAACATCGTGCATGTGGTGAATACAATGTATATGCACTTCAAGATATTTTTGTTTTGTTTTTCTTGTTCTTCTTAGATTTCGAAGTCTAAATGGTCATTCGGGCATAAAACAAAGCTGAGTATAAAAATTATCAAATATGTAACGGACATTAACATAATTCTTCAACTTGGTTAATTCTACATTGATCTAAATATACACTTTAAGTCACATATACAATTGCAAATATTTTTTTGAAAGTTTTTCCAAACATTGTTACAAACACTATTACAAGCATGAATGTTCAGATTCGGGTTAAGCTAACAGATAATCCGATGGATTCAGGTCACCACACCCGAATGTCACTAATGTGTTTGGGTCGATTCCTTGGTCAACTGCAAAAGCTTTGAGCTCTGAAAGATTGTCATCATTTATTGTCGGCGTTCTGGTAAAAAATTGTAAAAGCTTCTGACCTGTAACACAACAACGGTGAAATAATGATACGAATAAAATATTCATGAACTGCAATCAGACAGGAAAAGTCAACTGCAGTTTTTTCGAAGCAGTTTTATTCATTTGAATAGGAGTAAAACAATGATGAGACATATACCTATATAAAGAGTCAAAGGTCATAAACATAACTCACCAGCCTCCATTGAAGTCAATATACTAAAGAAAGTAGAATAGTCGGTTGAATAGTCATGTGGATGAGAGTAGAACAATGGCTCACCTGTAAATAGAAGGGGGATTTGTAAAATATCGCAATTCATGATTTGATCAAATCTTTACCTTTAGAGGGAAGTCTCATCTTTGTGTCTACAGAAAGTTGTTCTTGATAAAGCTCTGTATCTATCTTTTCCCAGCTTTTCTCTGAAAGAAATTAAATGCCAATCATATGATCGTGGTATGATTGATCAACTCTGTCACTTCACTTTATTGAAAATCGACAAGAACTACATAATAAAGAATGATTGTTCGGTTCACTAGAAACTAGAGTCCAATGAAACTGAGTAATTTGTACGCGATAACAATCTTGAAGGTGACAATAAATCACTGAAACTCTCACCGAACTGATGATTATTCCAAATTTGACCCAGATGGTCGCGGTATAAATCTTCTGTAAAGGAGTGTGGAATCTGTGGTTTATTCCTGTTATGAAACAATTAACATAGGAAGTTTAATATAATTTATCTCGTGTACCTCGATATATTTTATTTTTATTAACTAGAAACTTTGTTTTCGTTTTTGAAATACTACTCACTTGGGTAAGTTATATGAGTATTGACTCATCCTATTATCTGTTACGTTGAAAGGTGCAACAACATGACATTTCCATAATACGTTCCAGGATGAGTCGTCCAGGCCAAGTGTGAGAAACCAAACTCCTTGCAACTGAGAGTAATATAAAACGGAATATACGTTTTTGCGCCTTCAGTGCTTGAGCATTGGGTACTTTTTATATTTTTCAAAACGGGTATTTTATAAACACGGGTTTGCTTTGAAGTATTCTCGTCTTTCGTAATTTTTATTTACATGTGTAGGGTAACACGGAAAAACTGCAACGTTGCGTAGCAATTACAACTCGTAGTCTTTGCGCTCTATTCCTGAGACGTCGTATGCCCATACAAGATCACATTATTTTGTCACTGCCTTGAATAAGTAATAAAATTAGAAAGCATATTATATAAGGCTTATGATGCGATGCTTAGTGTCATTTCAACATATTTCGGCGAAAAATGATAGTGTTATTGTCCTGGAGAACATCTCAGGTACAAAACCAGAATAATAATATATACAATTAATGTTCGACAAATACTTTTTTTTAACTTACGCGTTCAAAATCAATGTCATTTCCTGAATATATTTCTCGACTCCATGCGAACGATAAGAACAGAATAATCAATGACAAGGAAGAAGTTGACTCCATCATCCCAGTCTTGTGAATATCTCAATGCGAACTATTGCTGAAATGACAGTGCAGAGGAATAAAACATATTAAATAGAAGCATAAATAGGAACATTATATAATGGATCGTGATGCAAACATGTCATGATGTTTTTATTTTGTCTGGAAGTTTTTGATATTTTTCGAGTGTTCACTAGCATTTCCTTTGAACACTGCTATTGAAATGCAAAAACATTATTCACATTCTACCTTTTAAATTTGTAGATTACACATATATATATACGTACATTCAGTAAACAACATTGAAAATTTAAATTAAAAATTTACAAATGTATATTGTCGAAATTACATTAGGAGTTCACTTAAACATGAAGCTAAACTCATAGATGTAGCAAGATGTGTTAAAAACGTGGAACAATGTCACAGCAGATTAAAACAGTTGAATCTATATCGCATTTTCTAATTTTGTATGATTGCCATATATATATGTAGTTGAAAGTCAAATTCGAGACTTTGGGTATATCCAGCCACATAGCCTACTCACAAATACACCACGCTTTGAATACACCAATTTTTGAAGTGTCAACTACACCGGATAATGTTCAATGATGAGAATCAACAAAAATCGTTGTAATATTTCGGAATCATATGCTGTGCCCACGGAAGATCGAGTAATGTCGCAACTTCGTCGCAACCGTGGAACACGTTTCAAAAAATCGGAAACTGGCAGAATACTTACAAATATTCGATTTGCGTTTGAAAATTCCATTCGTCGTCAAACTATAGCGTATAATACAATCCATATATATATAAAGATTGATGAGAGTTTCAGTGATTCAATTAGCATTCAATTTGCTTTCAGAGAAAATCTGGGATGAGATGGATACAGAACTTTATCAAGAACAACCTTCTGTTGGCAGTCTCTTGGCGCAGAGATGAGACCACACTCCCTCCCATGAGAATTTATGAAAGATGTTACTAAAGCACGAATTGCGATATTATACAAATCCACTTTCTATTTACAGGAGAGTCATGGTCTTATTCTCATGCACATGCCTATTCAACCGAATATTCAACTTTCTTTAGTCAATTGACTTCAATGGAGGCTGGTGAGTAATATTCATGAAGTTACCTCAGTATTTTTATCATGTTCCACTTGATGTTCACATGTTTCATCATTGTTTTACTCCTATTGAAATAAATCAAAATTGAGCAAGGAATCGATCCAAGCACGTTAGTGACGTTCGGGCGTGGTGATCTGATTTCATCGGATATATCTATTTATTAGCTTAACCCAAACCTGAAAAATCATATTTATACTTGTAATGACAATGTTTGGAAAAACTTTCACATAAAATTGTTTCAATTGTAAATGTGACTTGAGTGTTTAGTTTGGTTCAGTTGAAGACTATGTTAGCGCCCGTTTTATAATCGATAATGTTTGCGGGCCAAATGCTTCCCACAAGGAACATTTGTGCGGCCCGCGGAGAAGTGCCAATTGTGAATGCCATCTTTTACAATAATGCCAAAAAACACTTTAATTAACTAGTATTTTGCTGTGCATGTACAGAGGTGTTGAAAATCTTTAATTGTTTATCGTGGAAAGAATATTTTCGGATCTTTTGTATAGTGCCCCCGCCAAAAAACGCCCTAGCCAACGATTCGTTTATTCTTACAAAAGCATAATACGCACGCTATAACCGGAGCACTAATATAGTAATATGATTGGATCATATTGTTCCCAAATCGAAAAGTTTGCAACATTTGATACGAAATTTTTGATGCAAAACAGTTTGTTTCAGGTATTTCGATGAAATCAACAGGCAGATATGGCCCTCAAATTCTAAATCTATGCTGTGGGTGAGATATCATACCAATTAGAAATCTTGGTAATTTTTCGTATCTAAAAATCATGCATCAAAGACAATGAGACCCGTATACGACAAAATTTCAAAATATTGTGGTCAGCAAAAGCTTCAATTTTTTATCAGACAAGTTATGATTAGTTACTTTTAAAAAAAACTGGAAATAGCCTATTTCTTGGAGGAAAATTTTTTTTAACACTGCAAATTTCTTTTAGGTTTGCACTAATAGAATTCAAGATTCTCACAACTTGACACTTTGTGAAGGATAGGGCACGAGAGGATAAAATATTCAATTAATTACTTACAGCAACTGGGATTATAACCCTTATGAATATTACAGTGATATAATTAGTCATTGTCACGTGCGCACTACGTTTTTATTCCATTGCTGAAAACAAGACAAATTAAGACCGTAGTTTAATAAATAATGACGAATCTTAACAATAAAGGCAATATGCATTATTTGAATATTTATTTTATATCTGAAGCTGGCGGAACCGAACAAACAAACTGTGGAAATACAATTGATTTCTTTGAAGCAGGAGTCCCTAAACCGCGGCCCGTGGGTCATATCCGGCCCGCGTAACGATTTAAAATGGCCCGCCGAGCTCAAGCGAAATGGTGTTCAACAGATTTTGTTTGTAAATTTTTGCGATCTACCGCCTATTGATATGTCATTATCACAGTTTAAGAACGTGTTTATCGTAACAATTCAATTATACCGGTATCTCAATTATACGTGCCCGTATTAGGATTACATAGGGCAGTAATTCAGTTATCAGTCCATGAGAAAGCCCAGAGATGTCAAAAAGCAAACGAAAATTAGAGGTGGAAACAGAAGTTTCTTGAATAAATGTCAGCGCTCGTATTTCTGCATTGGAAAGAATTTTAACTTCAACGATTTGTCTTCTTTTTAAAAAAAATGTCGAATGTGAATCCACAGAACTCCAGCTAAACCAGTGGTTCTCAAACTCTTAGAAAAATTATGCATAACGGTCCCCTTTCAATTTTTCTGATGACTTGCGGTCTACTAAAGAAATGAAAGCAAATAGCAACACTGTATATCAAGCATTCATTTATTGAATGACATCAAAACAGTTCAATGAGATGGCTGCGCCTGCTTGGCTTCCACTAGGTTTTCCACCTTGGGTTCTGTTTCGAATAACGCAACTCTCATACCGTGTCTCATGTCATTCTGTTCCAACAATTCGCACCGACATGCCTTGGTTACGGCAGCAAAATTTTACCCGCCATTGGTTTTCAGGAATTAAATGAAACGCAACGTACATGAAGAAGGTAGCATTTTTGAAGAAAAATGGGAGTTGCAATATTTCTGCATTTCTCAAAATTCTAAAGCACATTGTTTAATTTGTCACATTTCTATCAGTACAATGAAAGAATGCAATATACGTAGACATTATCAGAATAATGGTGTGGTCCGAAAAGACAGTCATTTGTTTGTGTACTGATCTATACATGAAATAATAAACGTTAAATTTTAAAATTACTCAAATTAATTAAACATTCTCAGCGATCCAGATTAACGATCGATGATCTTGTTACCTCGTTAATTAGAGTTGGTGATGTAAAATCATTGCAGAATGATATTAGTAAGCTGGTGCCACAAACGATATGCCAAACATCAGGACATATGAAATAAAAAAACATTGAGTGTATTCTGTAGTATTTTTGTAAATTTTAGGCCTATATATTTGGATTAAGTCCTTTTTAGGGTATGTATTATTCTTTCCTTATCAAAACTTTGTTCAAAAATGTTTTGGATAGTTGTACATAAAAATTTATGATTTTTTGTAATAAATACATTAAATTGCAATAATAGTGAAATGCAAATATTAATATGTAAATGGCATTTGAAATTTATGAAAATAACAAAACTTCATTCGGCTGTTTAATTGCATCACAAAATATTTCTCAATCTACACCTGTCTAAAAATAAGCTTCAAGTATACATTATCAAAATATATCAAAAACTGTTAGCGCCCTGGGCACAATTCCGAAAAAGCAATGCGGCCCTCGAAAACCCACGAGTTTGACGTTACCGTTTGATGTAGCCAGATTAGAAAAGTTATCAAATATAATGGCGTTCGTTAAAGGTTATCACGCAAACCTTTTTGTAGTATATATAGGGTTACCATATTTTGGTAACCTCAAAGCGGGACGCCTCCAAAGACCATAGCTGTGATTTTGTCAGCTTTAAATTTACCGATTTTAGATTAGTGGCCTACATTTAAAACTATCCTTACTGTCTTCACTGACCATATTGCCATCAAGAGTTTATGCGCTGTCTGTATAAATATCGGTTTCGGTTCGAAATATAGAAAGGAATTTACGTTAACGTTAAGCACCCTTTTGGCGTACGGGGCTTACACGTAACTAATTGTATCAATTATCCGCTAACATAAAACAACGAAACAAACAAAACCACGCATCCACCTTCAACAAGTAGGTTACCGGTACGCTACACTATAACGAGAACTTGCTAATTGGTAATGTTCGTGCATTATGCTGACTGACTAAACGCCAAAGCGGGACTTTTGACTGACCGGTCGGGACGACGGGACAAGACGTTGAAAAGTGGGACCGTCCCGCCTAAAACGGGACGTATGGATCTATACGTAATCAGTAATCAGTAGTTTATTTTCTCACCATACTAAATGCACACTTGATATACAAATTACAATAAATAAATAAAAGGCATTTCAGGGTGAGGGGAGCCGCGAGAAACCAAATTTGGTTATCTTCATGCACCCAATTCTGGCAATTTTGGTTGGCATTTTTGGCAATTGACTCCAGCCATTATCAGCTTGGCAATATATTTTTCAATTTATCTATACTGTTCACTCCCATTTATAAAATCGATCAATTCGGCAGTGGCAAACATTATAAATTTATTAATATAGTGTGGCAAGTATTTTTTTTCAACTACCTGTATGTAATTTATCATGTTCTTCTTACTTTAAATTTTCTGTATGGCTGTGTGTGTGGGTGCGTGTGTGAAATATTTCCATTATTTTAGGTGAGTGAACACGTACCACTTCTTCTTGGCAAAACCTCCCATCTTATATACATTCTGTACGCTTCAAACCTTACCGTATCTAAGGTTTTGTTTGCTCTCCTGATTTATGTTTATTATTTTTACCAATCATTTTATTGTTATGCTGATTACGGAGTCGAAATAAACTTATACTTACCGTATTTCCCGGCGAATAAGTCGCTTCTCTAGACCCAAATTTTTGGCCTGATTTTGAGGGGTTCGTCTTATTAAGCGAATATGATAATTTTCATTTTTTTTGTGTCCTCTTATTGTATTATGTATTAAGTAATGTTCTCTTATGGTGGAAGCAATCGCTGAATCGCGAGTTGACCACAATTAGATTAAAATTTAAAGACAGTTTGAATTCTCTTAGTTATTATGGATTGAATATTACGCTACAAAAAAACGTCATTATAGGCTATGGTACCGGTACCGGTATGATTTTAACCAATGCGCAAACGCGGCGACCGCTCAAAACTGCAAAAGGCATTGCATGGTGATTTGAGATTCAATAAGTTCAGAAGTTTATTTAGTAGATGAGTCGTCCGCCTTTCGTACGGTACGGTAAGTGGTGTTGTCTGATACAGATTTGTTTGTTTGTTTTCAAATTTTGTTTCAAGAACTTTACCTACTTCTAATACTGGAATACAGTCAGACAGTATTAGATACCGGTAGCCATATTGCAGTATTGGGTCTCCTGTAGTTTCGTACCTAACTTACGCCGGTACTTCTAGTAGGCGTAGAAATAGCGTAGATTTTTTCACGTGTCAGTTCTAACCCCCACCTGACCTCACCATCCAAAAATTACGTCACTACGACGTCACAGTGACGTAATACTGTAATACTGTAATAGAGCCCTTCAAACTATGCGAACTGTCATCCAAGATGTGCAGACTAGGGGTCTGGTATAGTTTAGTACCACATGTACTTCTAGGTGACCTGGCTCAACAATTTTTGCATATGTCAATCCTAACACCCACCTGACTACGTCACCGAAAAATTACGTCATTTCGACGTCACAGTGGCGTAATAAGGCCCACCGAAGTATGCGGATGGTCGTCCAAAACTCGCAGACTATCACCCGAAATCGAGCAGGCAATTTCTCTCGTTTTCTCGTCACAACGATCACGATAGGAGAGAGATTGCCGGCTTTAGCAAGTTCGTTATCGGCGGCTCAGATGTCATTTCGGGCGATCGTAATTATACTTTGGTAATCCCTATGGCGTAATGGTAACGTCGTAGTGACGTAATTTTTGGATGACATAGTCAGGTGGGCGTTAGGAATAACATATGCAAAATTCGTTATGCTACGCCCACTGGAAGTACTTGTGGTACTATACTAGAACCCCAGACGAGAACCCGAACAGCCATTTCTCTCGTCGCAACGATCCCTATAGGAGAGAGATCGCTGACGTTAGTCAGTTCTTTATCGTCGGCGCCGATGTCATTTCGGGCGATCGTACGAGTATTTGGCAAGCTCTATGACGTGATTGTGACGTCGTAGTGACGTAATTTTTGGATGGGTTAGGATTGTCATGTCAAAAAATTGTTATGCCACGCCTAATAGAAGTATGTTAGGTACGAAACTACACGAGACCCAAAAATTGTTATGCTACCGTACGCCTACTAGAAGTATGTTAGGTACGAAACCCTCCAGTCTGCCAGTCTATACTGAGAAAAGTGTATTTTTTAGCCCTTTTTTTTTTATTGGTGTGACTGTTTTTTTCTGATAGACGAAATAAATCTTTCTCTCTTGCAGTGTTCCATGTCATTGGTTGATTTAAAGGTATTGGTTAATTTTACCGAATGCGTGAGGATTGCTGGACTCTTCGCCGCCGTAGGGTGGTTCACGTAACCGCTGGTCGGTTCAGCTTCCTCCACCATCAAATCCATGCTTCCGGAAAACAAATAACTAACTAGTCCCATACCCAAAATGGGATGATAACCGGACGAGAGGCCGTGGTTCGCCATATGGTCAAGCTGTCTTATCGGCTTTCCTCTTCCTATAGATAAATATGTAAATACTATCCTGACTGTACAACCTGGCAGTTTTGGTTCTATTGAAGTATAAACTGAAAAATCCTAACTGCTGAATGAAGCCAAATAAAAATGTGATGTGAAAATAAATGCTATAACTGCTTAAATAATGTCAAACAAAAATGTAATGTGACAATTTTTATACATCCTTAATTTTTAATAATTTTGTCGAAAAAATGAAAATTCCACATCACATTTTTGTTAGGCGTTATCCAGGCAGTTTTGACATCGATTTTTTGTCGCTTCGGCTAGACTCTACTCTCAGGATCTTGATTTCTCTGAACTTTGTTTGTTGTAGTTTTATTTGTTGCCCTGTATTCCAGTATCCAGGTAATGTTTTCGTGTTGTATCAGTTCCATGGATCTAAATTCGAAAAGAATATGGGACCTAACTAAAAGTATCATTCGTACTTCAGTACTCTTCTCTGTTCATTTTTGCTTGCTAAAATCTTAAATCTCAGTTTATTTTGAGTTTATCACTATTCAGTTTTTGTATTTTTTACTGTTTTCATGCATGTTTTTTAGACGAAGGATCTCTGAAATCGGGAATAAACAGATTGATGTACGATAGACTAGTTTTTCAATATTTACAAGCTGACAAGCACTTTGTTCTCTCAGAATATTGCTAATTTCACTTACTACAAAAATAAAGGCTCTACCAATAAAACAACGCGAATGGAATTTTTACTCTATTTTCACTTTTTGACCTTTTTTTTGTAGATAAATTTTATTGTTTACTCACCATCAGCAGCATCAATAGTTATGACTATATATAAGTCGTTGTTTATCTGTCGAGGAAGCCTTTCCAGTTCTTTGTTTGGAAAACAACTTGCTTCAAACTCTTATTCAATTAGTCAAAATGGTTTGAGAATCCAATACTCGTCAGAATCTGTTTCAGAATCCCTTCCAAAAATAAAGTCTTCTGATAGTAGCATGATGAAGCACATATACAGTTTTAATTTGAAAAATATTGACAAATTGAGGGGCAAATATAACAGTCTTGTGGCTACTGCTTATCAAGGAGGTGGTGAAAAGGCAATAAAGCGGCACGTAGAAAGAAATAAAAAAATTCTTGTTCGTGAAAGACTGAAGAAAATTTTGGATACAAATTCACCTGTACTAGAAATTGGTACACTGGCTGGATATGATATGGAATATGGAAATATTGCTTGCGCTGGAGTAGTAACTGTTATTGGTAAAATTCACAACACATGGTGCATGGTTGTTGCAAATGATGCAACTGTAAAAGGTGGTTCAATTTATCCTATAACTCTCAAAAAGCAGTTGAGATGCCATCAAATTGCTGAAGAAAATCATTTGGCTTCTATTTATCTTGTGGACAGTGGAGGTGCATTTCTACCGTTACAATCTGAAATTTTTAATCCTGGTGGTAGAATATTTCACAATCAAGCTGTTATGTCCTCACAAGGCATACCTCAGATCGCATTTGTGTGTGGGTCGTGTACTGCTGGGGCCGCCTATATTCCAACAATGGCTCAAGAAGCTGTGATAGCTGATCAAATTGGTACTATATTTCTTGGCGGTCCACCGTTGGTACAAGCAGCTACTGGTGAAAAAGTGACACCAAACGAATTGGGAGGTGCAGATTTACATTCTCGATTGAGTGGTTGCACTGACCACTTTGTTAAAACCGAAATTGAAGGTTTGAAAAGGGTTCGGGATATCGTAGCAACAAGTAATTTGACAAAAGTGAAGGGAGAGAATTTCTATTCTGAAAAAGATAAAACCGAAATATGTAAACTTGCTGCTGGTAATAAAGAATATAGTGTTGATGCTCATGAGATCATTAAGTGTTTGGCAGATAACGATGGATTTCATGAATACAAAGAACAATATGGTACTTCACTTGTCACTGGTTTTATGTTCGTCAGTGGCATCTTAGTTGGAGTTATCGCGAATAATGGCTACATAACAGACAAAGCTGCCAAAAAGGGATCCAATTTTGTGCAATTGTGTGGAGATCGACAAATTCCTGTTTTATTTCTTCAAAATTTATGTCATGATGAAACATCGTCTGTAAATGATACCAGCAACTCTGTTATCAAATCAAGGGCCTCCCTCATGCAAAGTATTGCCACTTGTCCTTGTCCAAAAATAGTGATCAGTGTTGGAGGATTGGTGGGCTCACCTCACATGCATCCAATGTGTTCTTTATCTATGGGTGCAAGATTCCATTTTGTGTGGCCAAATGTTAGATTGGGTGCTGAATTTTTGTGGAACAGTAACTCTGACATTTCGTACTCAGAGTATGAAACATTGAAGCATAAATCTACAGCATTCTATGGTGCGTCTCAGTGTTGGTACGATGGCATTGTTTTGCCAGAAGACACAAAAGAAGTTATATTCTTCTGTCTTAGTATATTTGAACAGGAAAGAGCAACACGCCTACAGCAGGCAAATAATCAAGCTATTTCGGATCCCAATAATATGCATACTGTTATCAGATTGTGATTTATCAAATGAAACCTCAAATTAATTTAGCATTAGTAGTTTTTAACTTGAACAAACATGATTGCTACAATTTGTCGGCGGTTAGTGTGAAAATTGTATACTTTGTTATATCAAAATCAGTGCAATACCGGTAATTTATATTTAACTTGTCTTGTTAAAAATCTTTAGCATCTATCTAGAGCCAATCCTCAAATACATTTTTTGTTCACTTCGTGCCTAATTCACCATTTATAATCAAAGTCTATGCAGCATATTATGTCTAAAATTATTGTGTATAAAAAATTATTCTAGATATACATTTATCTATTGTTCCTGATTAAAGTAAGGAGTATTGAAATAAGTATTGAATATTGAAATAAACTTTTAAAAATTAAGATTACTGCGCTTTAACCGCTGTTATCTCAATATGGGGGCCATGTTCACAACACGATGATCATGTAAGTACTTCTAGTTGGTGTGGCACAACCATTTTTGCATATGTTATTTCTAGGAATACGAATACGCCAGTGGTTAGGAATAACATATGCAAAAGGGGTTGTGACGCGCCAAATAGAAGAACTTACGGCGTTTTTAGTGAACATGCAGCGTTTTTAGTGAACATGCGCCCAATATGAATACAACATTAATTACCGGTAACTTATTAATAATTAATGTGTTTATATTATAATTCAAATAAAACAGTTCAATAGTATTGTTGTATGTGATTTTTTTTATTTTGAGTTTATATATATAACCTATAAGGATTATGATTTATTGAGATAGAGGTCACAACTATTTGCAGAGAATCATGCAAGTATACCAAATAATTAATTTATTACCAAAATATGTACCTCTTCGATAGTAGTCCATGTTTCATATTTGTCATGATTTAAAATTTGGTTGGATCAAGTTCAGTTACTGAGTATTGGTAAAAGATTTACTCTTCATTTAATCTGGTAATAATGTTGTAATGTATATCATGAAAAATTATTGAAATTTAGTTATTTTGTAATTCCTATAAGTTTTTTGTTATTTTCACAGTTTTTATGTAGTGTTATTTCTTGTATGGTAGGTTTTATGACTGATGGCTTTCGTGTTGTGCTATTTTTGATCATTCTGTGAATTGATAATGAAAGAAATTGATGAATTTGAATTTGCTGGGTGAATACCACAACAAATCCAAGATACTCCAATGGGGTAGGTGGAATTTGTGTAATGTAAGAATTTTATTATGGCATGAATGTCAGAATGAGAAAATTAATGACTGTCAAATAGTTATGCAGTGATATTCAAATAAAAAGTTCATTCAGTTTCAAGAATTTGTTTATTCAAAATTTGTCCGTGAGATTGCAATTTATTAATGATTTTACAATTAATTAGGTGGATATTATAATACATTTTTTAAGTTTAAAAAAAATTCCCAATATGTCAACTCAACTGTCAAATGGTTATGCAGTGATATTCATATTAAAAGTAGGCCTTTTCATTTTCCAGACTTGGATGATCGAAATTTATCTGTAACCATTGCAGTTTATTAATGATTTTACAATAAATTTGGTGCATATTATATTGCATCAAAAGTTAGAAAAAAATCCACATTTGAAGCAGTCATGTACAATAAATGTCCACACGGTTTTCCTTTCATCATATCTAACTTTGTGTTCAGGGAAGTACCAATCTATACCACAAAGGCTCACGTCTTCATGATTGACCCAGTGACAAAGAAGTCCTGGGTTCCAGCAAGCAAGAATGCGATTCCAGTCAACTTCTTCTTCGATTCAGCTCGCAATACATACAGAATTATTGGAGTTGAAGGACCCAAGGTGGGTTGTTTTCATACCATTTACATTCCATATCCAGTAATCAGTAAATATAAATACTGTAGGCCTACGTGGAAAACAACTGAATGAGCCATCTATACCCATTCCATCTCCATATTGACTGATTTTAAACTTGCTTATTCCATCAACATTGACACAAATACTATTGATACCCTAAACTAAATAGTTTTCATTAAACTCCTGTTAATTCAGGATGTATTTTCAAGGCCACTAACTATTCATCAGTGATCAGGGATAATAGATTCGTAATTACCGTATATATGATCGCAAATAGGCCGAGTTTAAAACTCAAAAAAAAAAGGTGCCAAACTAAGGGACCGTCTTATCCGTGCATATTTCAGATTGCACCAAAAAATCAGCTCATTCGCGCATCTGATTTTGATCAGGCAACGGCGCGCGACTTTCAATAACTTTACGATATGTTATTCGTTAAGGGGCGGTGATAAGGACTCTTATCGAAATTAACCGTGTTGTGGACGATCAAAGGAAATTGTTTTATGCTGACTCAGGGACTCTCTTAAACTCCCGACAACAATCCCTTCCATTAATACAAATCATGACGCATGAAAAGCAATATAGACTTTACTAACATGAATTTACAAGTGAGAGTTACGAATAAGAATCTACGGCCGTCGCTAACAAACAGAAATGATAAACTTGAGAAATATTTGTGTCACAGCAATTTTGTTTTCTTTCTGCGCCTTTCGAAAGGCGTCTGGCGTGTTAAGATTTGTAGCGATTTATAAGAATATGTTAATACAGCGTTATTTCTTTCCTTGAAACAGACAAGGAACGAAATTAATCGCCGTTGTGGCGATCAAAGGAAATTGTTTTATGCTGATTCAGGAACTCTATTTTAAACTCCCGACACAATCACGGACGCACTAAAAAGCAATATGGACTTTGTTTAACATAAATTACCATAAATTACGGGTAATAATCCACCTACGGCCCTCCCTAACACGCAGAAATGATAAACGTGAGAAATATTTACGTTACAGTAATTTTGTTCTCTTTCTACGTTTTTCTTGAGGTGTCCGGCGTGTCACGATTCGCAGGACCGGCTTATGTGCAATTTTTTATAAAATCGCCGTTTTTAGGGAGTCGGCCTATTCTCGATATAGGCGTAATTTCGAGTAAATACGGTAATTATTTTATTCAATATTTAGAAAAATGTTTTTATTCAATAAATTATAATTTTGAGCAATTGAAATCTTCAATTTCTGAAAGCTATGAATAAATAGACAAATCAAATCACTGTTTATATCAACTATCCTCTATTAAAAAATTCAAACACATTGATAAATGGACGCATGATGACATTCAATAACCACATTCAAAAATATTTCTTTAGAATGTGTTCAGAATAGTGAAAGAATTTTGGTCAACCATGCTAGTGTTAATTACATGTACATCCCTCCGTTTCGTGATAACACAAACTTGAGAAAAGGTTCAAATTGCTTTAAAATATTTGGACTGAACAGTTGGGTTAATAAGTGCTTGTATTTATTTTGAGATAATAAATTATTAGAATGTCAGAAGTCTGTGGTAAAGCAAACAAACCATTTTTCATTTTATGTATTTGACATTGTGTTGATTTTTTAAAGAGAATTATTGATAATTCGACTGAAAAAGGGCCTTCCGGAAGGCCCTATTTTAGGTCATTTTTACAATAAATTTTCACAGTATTATATAGCAGAAAAACTTCCTAGTTTTTCAGCTTTGAATAGTTCATTAAAGGTTATTTACAGACACTTAACAGCTACTGCACATATATAGTTTTTATTAGTCTGCTCAACTATTGAAAATAAGAACTTTTTGTCACCTATGAAAATTTTTATATATTTTTCAAAAATCGCAATTATGGGCAACCCAGGTATTAATCGAGGCACTTTTTTTTACTGTTTTGCAAGTTTCTATAGATTTACAACAATTGCAATGTGATTGGAATGAACTGCTACCACTCGATAATGTCGTAAATTTTGTATAAACATGTAGACAAAAGGGCCTTCCGGAAGGCCCTATGTTTTTTTTACACTATTCAACTATTTTGACCAAATTGAAGAGTACAGGGCTTTGAATGAAAGCAATAAAGGTTGTAGTTGCAAGCCTGGCGATTACCAGATGACATAGTCATTATTTTGTCTTCATATCTCCAATTATAAGCAAGTTACCTAGTTTATTGATCAGAATATTAGATTAATTTTTGTTGTTCCGGTGTCAAAAAATATTTTCTTCGCAATTGCAGGTACTTTTTTTTGCATGAGGCATGATTTCATGTTGGTTACTTGATTTATTGAGAAACAAAATGCAATACAGAATGTTTAATGATATATAAAAGTTGGACATTACTATAGAAAATGTTAGGGCCTTCCGGAAGGCCCTACAAAAATAATCAGTTATATGTGTCGATGTGGACCCTTAATATTGAGAGGAAAGCCTGTTTTTTCGAAAGGAAGCCAAAATTAAACACAAATTATAATTTTATGTTATTGATTAACATAATAAATATATTTAGGTTAAGTTTGAGCTATACAGAAGAATATTTCAAATTTTAAAATTGATTGCTACTATATACAGTATCATTATAATTTGTGCTTGGATGTGGTTTCTGGGTTGATACTTTTCAAGTTTTTAGAGAAAGCTAGAGTGAAATTTCATGATAGTACATTGTGAATTGTGATATAATATTACAGTGTGTGAAATAGACTATAAAGATTCAAGACCTGGAGTTTCAGATGAAGAGAACATAGAAAGAATTTAAGAAAGATTCGAATTAGGAAATTACTTTGGGCACAATGCAGAGAGTAGCTTTGGTTTGAATGAATGAAGAACAACCAAACAGCAGTTTAGGTAGCAACCAAAAAAGACTGAGAGTTAGGATTCTGAAGTTGAGAAAGAAAAGGAAGTTAGTGAATGTGCTGAGTTCTTTCTTAGCATGCAGCATAGACAGTGAACTAACAGAGATGAATGTATTTTCATTCTCAGACGAAGAAAGTGACAGAGTCTGATTAATAAGACATAGAGTCTGATTAAGACATGGATACAATCCCCTTACAGCAGAGAATGATAGGCAAAGTGGAGACAGAGCCTTAGGATGAATTATTAATGGTATAGTGAGTTGCACATCCAAACTTCCAAATTTGTTTGCAGATAAATTTGATAAAAGGATAATTTTAACTAGCTAGAAACAAAATGAGAATGGCACTCTGGAAATATCCCTAGACTGCAAGTAGCAGAAACTTATTTGAAATTTGTCACTGTCATCATTATAATGTGGGTACTGGATCCTTTGGTTTTCTAAGATGCGTAACTAATGCGCTCTTGTGACCACTGTCAATTTAGAGCAACATGGGTTTTCTACTAATAAATGCTCATCTTTGGATGTTATATTTCATTAATAATGACAACATATCAACCAAATCTTGCATGATATTCTTTACATGACGAGCAAACAATTCAAATTCAAAAGTTTTATTGTCCAAGTAGGCGCTGACTTTCAATGAGTGATCGTCTTTCATTTACTGAAAATTAATGCCCAGCTGTCATTTGGGGAACACCTTTCCTCCCATCAAAAACGAAAAATGTAACTTTCTTTTCAGATAACATGGCTTAAAATAACATTACTTATTTATTTGATAGTGGTACATTCTCTAATTACTGAAAATAGAAGTTTTTTAGGTTGCCAGATACCGGGTCTTAGGGCCTTCCGGAAGGCCCTTTTCAAGAAAAATTTTGAAAGGGTCTCCCATCCATCATGTTGTTTTTGTTAGTATTAATTTTGGAAGTTTTTTTTGGTATTAGGTATTTGTGTTCTGGGTTTTTAGAGAAAAAAATGTACCTAACTGAATATACTTAAACAATAATCCCTCTTATAAAACCTATCGTTTAAAATTTTTGATGAAAAATTTATAATTTACAAAAAAAATTGTATTTACGCTTTTTTCTGTTAGCAAATTTAGTTTTTCAGTGCAACAACATGATACAAGAAATTCATAAACATGAAAAAATTAGATCACAAAGGTTTTTTTATTTGAGAAATGAGGATTTTAAAAAATTGATTTTTTTCAAATTTTTCAAAAAATTGAAATTTTTATTAAAAGTAAATAGGTCAGTGATAAAAAACTAAAATGTTTTATAGAAATTGTAACCTATGATTGTGTTCATGAGTAACTGGCAATCAATTAATACCATAAGCTAAAGAAAATTCAAAATCAAACTACACGAAATCAGGTTTCAAAACTATTTGATTAAAAGGGCCTTCCGGAAGGCCAAAAGACCTTCCGGAAGGCCTTTTGTCGAATTATCATTATGCACCTTGTCTTGAATTCACAATCGACTTTAATTCCGCTTTAAACAGGTTCACGCGACTATCTGAAGATGTATTGAATAATTAATGAATAATACTATGCTGATTCCGCCACATGCCCGACTCATCCATTAGATATCATCATGTTATACCTTAGTCTTGTCACCGTCCTTATATTATTAAAAGATTAAGCCACTTCAACAAAATATATAGCATATTGCACAAGACAAGAAATGTTGAAGCTTAATAAAGATAGTCTTTATACATCTGTTTTTATGTCATTTGATCCATATACTTGGGACAATAATTGCTGATTAGGAACACATCAACTTATCAGTTCCGCAAGATGATCTGACTGGGGAAATAAAATAATCAACTTCACAATTTAAAGTTTGTCCTTAATTTTGTTTCGCCTATTTTAATTGGTACTCTTTAATTGGCTATTTTTGTACAAAAAAACTATTTTCGATTGGATGAACATGCACGCCAAAGAATTTCATTTGGAAAAAAAAATGCATATGATGCCTTTCTGTGAAGTACTGTTCCGTTACTGTAATATTCTTATTGAATGAAATATTTTAATTTCCAAATTTAAATGGTGTATGCCAAAACTTTGCCAGTTTTAGGAATATCTCATTGAAAAATGGTATTTTTAAACTTTAAACACCAATTTATTATAAAATGTGATGAAATGAGATTTTTTTAAACTTAGCATATGCATATCTGGGGAATTAAATTTTTAAAGAAGAGTTGTTAGAATTCAGATGGCTTTCCTTCATGTACAAGTTGATTGAGATTCACAATGTACTGCACATTCCATTGGCATGTAAATCAGATTTTTAGAACATCTTCATCCATACATATAATTTCAGTTCTATTCAACTTTGTGCATAATCGTCATTTTTTGTGGCTGGGAACTGGGTTTGCTACTGGTGTGTATACTTTATAGAAATATTTCACTCTTGTAAGCTTTTTCTCTAATTATTACCGGTACATAATAGCCATCTGCAGATAAGTATTTGCATAATGCAAAATAGCCCTTTTTAACACATACGTGACTGACTGCACGATCGATTGGCATGTGACTTAGGAATTAATATATATGCCTTCTTAACCCTTCAACCCCGGTATAAGAACAATTTATCAATAAATCAATCATACAGCTAAATCATGAATGCCAAATTCTCTTCAAAATGTTTTAACAAACCTTAGTTCCTCTAATTGTAAAACATTAAAAACAGTAATGAGTTATTCCAATTTTCATATCAACTAGTGAACTAGATGTTTCATTTATCTTGTAAATCTTTCATGTGCTGCTTAATGTATTCTGTATGCATTGTTATAGGACTACAAGTGTTTGAAAAAGCTTGTCTGAATATTAAGTGATGTAACCCAAAAAAATAGCATGAATTTTGCACATTTTTCATTTGTGGAATTTTATGGAGATTTTCCGTTTATGACTTATTAATGTATATACATTCTCAAACATGTTTTGGCATTTATAATATGGTCTTGTTGAAACTAGCTCTACATTCTTTAGTAGCTTCAGACGTCTTATAAATAGTTTCTTTGCGTCTGTGGAAGTACACTCGTGCGTAAGTAATAAAAATAACCTTACAAGAAAAAGCATTATCATTTAATAATATTATAACGATTAATCGATCTGTTTCTCCTCAAATGTTTCACTCAAAGAGCACAAAACGCATGTTGCTAATCTGTTTTTATCATGGTGCTGACATTGCTAATTGATTATGTAATTTAATTGAATTTGACTTGTTTATAACATATCCCAAAAAAGTTAATTTATAGGTATTGCAATTACCGGTAGTATGGAGTAACACTGAATATGGTCAAAATTAGTAATAGTTTATATTTAAAACTCCAAAACTAGGTTCTTGAACTTTACAAACTCAAGATATATTTTGTATGTTTACATGTTTTGGTTCTTGTTCTATTTGTGTGTCAGTGAGAGAATCTTTCACATTTTAAACATTACTTTGAGTTTTGTCTCTTTTCCGGATTTCTCTCGTGTTTTTTGTTTGTTTGTAAGTTGCAATGTCTTTATAGGAAATCGAACTTACAATTTTAAGTAGAGGTAGTTAAAATCATATGGAACAACATTGATGTATACACATTATACATATAGGCTATGCATCTCATTCTCAATATGGTTCATAGATGAAACAAAGTACTCAGGTGCAGTCATTATAGATTTTTAAACATACATTCGACAATCTTAAATCATATTATATTCTTTTTCAGGCCATCATTAACAGTACTGTGTTGCAAAACATGGCTTTCACCAAAACATCAACAAAATTTGGCCAATGGGCTGATGTCCGTGCAAACACTGTATATGGTCTAGGATTCTCATCTGATACACTACTGAATAAATTCGCTGAACAATTTGAAGATATAAGGTTTGTCATTTAAACATTGAACCTTCAACTCATTTTAATTGTGTTCAAATTCAATTATCTGAATCGTTTTAAACAGAATTGCAACAAGCTTCATCTATCACATTGATGTTTTCGAGAATGGTCAACGGCCATCAATATAAAGTAATAATGAAAACTTTGTATGTATGAAGAGACAGTATGAAGCTTTCATTTTAAAATTTTAAAAAATAATTATATTATAATACGGCACAAATCTACTTTTTTATTGAGTCTCATCAAAAATTTTACATTTTTAAATTTTATTATACAAATGAAAAAAATAAGGGAGAAATTCTTTCGCAACATGTTTGAATATAAAATTCTTTTCTTTGACACTCAAAACTGTCATGGCAACATCTTCTTTGTCTTGAAATTTTCCTATTTGCATCTACCACAACAATAGTCAGCCATGACAAATTCAATTCATGGTTAATTAGTCACCCCTGGAGTTTGTACAGCTAATGGACAATGAATGAAACTAATTAAACAGTTGATTTACTGCCCTTGGAATTTTAATAATATAATTCATTGGGTTGCGTTAATAAGTGCAACCAGCCATGACTAGCGATAGACTTTATAAAAAGGAAAGGCTGGCTTAAAGCAAGCTATGTAACTTGGGATGTTTATATTTTATATTGTTTGCAATTGATTTCATTAATAGTTATAATTGATCGAAGTAAACATAATGGGTTTTGTTGTAGGAATATTTCAAATCATCATTTTGAAATATTATCGTATTATCGTGTAAATATTATCATGTTTGATACATATATGATTGTTGGTTGGTAAGCCACAGAAATTTCAGACATTGATTTCCATTGTTATATAAAAATATATCATTTCAAATTTATCTTATGTTTTCAATTTGAACTAGTTTTTTGGCATTCCAAATGACATCTTGACTATGAATAACTTGGGCCAGATTTTCACAATTTAGTACATTATATGCAACTACTTGGAATAATTTAAAAATATTTTCATATAAAAAATCATTCAACATATGACAGTCACACAAAAAATAAACTTTATTTCTACCTATAACACCATAATACTAAAGAGATATTAATCAAAAATGTTTATTCAGTTTTTCTACCCCTCAGTGTAATACAGCTGCTATCGTGAACAGTGATTTTCATTCTGTTATTCTTACATTTATTACAGGGAGCGAGCAGCAAAGCTGGAGTTGAATGATTCTTCACCTCAAACTAATGGTCAAGTCACTCCACGAGTAGTTGAAGAACCTCGTGCTGTTAATAATACAACCAAAGAAAAGGTTTCAAAATAGTCTATTTGTAATTTTTTTCAATTTAATAATATACAAATCATTATGATATAATTTAAAAGCTGGATTGCTTTATAAATAGCAGTATAGTAGCAGCAAATTATATAGACGTTCCAAACTTTTGTTTCCTGAAAATCAGTGTCTCATACGCAATATGTTATGAAGTGTATGGACTACAACACAAGCTAGTCATTAAGTACAAATTTGTTTCTTCGAGATTTCATGGTAAATATAAAGTATGGTATGTTTTGATCTAAAAAATGCAAAATGACATATCATAGTTTTGTGTCATATGTAAACCAATAGGCCTACTAATTTATAATCATTGATCAACATAGATTATTATAGTTGTCTATAATTGGGCCTTATTTATGCAGGAAATGATGAACAAAATTGAGAAGTGCTATTCTCAAATTCATGTGAAAAATACTCCCTATTTTTTTTTGAGTTTTTAATAAAATTATAAGGTTTACATAAACAGCGAGCGAACCCAATTCGAGTACTTGAAAAAACGAGATTACAAAAGAATTTTTGGTTACGAATATCCTAAAATGTCCAGATATCTCATTTAAAGAATTGAACGGTTAGCGGTAGATATCTATATGGGATTATGTGCGAGTTCAAAATTTTTCGCAAGTTTTTTTGTTCTAATTTTATTTTATCTCTGAACCTTGTACTCTCACATGCAATATGAATGAAAACCTGTTAACGCACAATACTCGTACAATGTTGAGGGTCCGTCGCATCACATTTTTAAAAAGCGAATGGATAGGATAAATTATTTATATCATTAACTGTCTTTGCAATCCATTTCCTTACAAATACTAAATAATGAACAGAACGAGAACAAACGCTTGAAGACCTTCGGACATCCCTATAATGAGTGTTTAATAGAAGCTTTGTTTCTGATTTGCATTTAACTGCCATGTTTAGCGGGATACGTCAATACTATCGATCAATATTAATGCTTATGCTGCTATGCATTCTACATGAATAGCTTCTCCTTGCTTTATGATGTGTTATTTTGGAGTATGCCTTACAATAATTCTGATTTTGTTTTGTAGTGTTGGTAGCTGATCGTAATATCGTAATTATTAGTGATACGATTTAACTGCGAAATAGTACGCAAATTTTACTGTAATTTTCCGTTGCCTAATTTGGTCATGCATTAAATTGAATTTTTTAACAAGGTCAGGTAATATCCCTCTACTTGTATTGATATATATCCCCTGAAGAGAGTGAGTCAGTGAATCAATACTCCATGACGTTTTCTAATTCCCAATTGCATGTACTTCAAGAACACTCAGATTTTTTTTTTAAGCTAAAGGTTATTATTCAGTCTTTTGTCTATATTGTGCTCTGTGAAAGGTAAAGTACTAATAAAGATTGATAAATTGATTGGTTTAAATATACCAAATCAGGCATGTCGAACTGTCTGACATTTTGAAATGTTGCATTGTAAAGAAATTCAAAATTTGTAAAAACTGAAAATGTGTAAAAGTGCTTTAAGACTGCGTTTCCAACTGGGGTCTTTGTTCTCACACAATATCTTTCTCATATAAACGGATGGCTACATTTTTTTCAAAAAATCATCTAATCACTCAGAAACCATAATTATCAAAATCTGGTCATTGGTCACAAAAATAGTCATTAGGCCTACTGATAACTGAACACTTACTGGAAGAATTATGAATAAACGTTATGATAAGTATAGATAAGAAGTATAATAATAGTGTTCAATATTACACACCGTAGAAACTAAACTATGGCAATTCATATCACAGATTGAGATAACGTATTTCAAAACATATTTAATAAGATCTTTTTGGATTTCATAATACTCAAACTGAGTATAAACTGTGATTTTAGAGTGATTTTACAATGCTCAGGTATTTCAGGAGCAGTTACTGTATTTAGCTGTTGCATATCCTTTTCCATAAACAACCATTTCTTTGTTGTCCAATGTTTTATTAGTTTACCACATCGCTATTCAAAATCCCAAGTCCCAGGTGTAAAAAGATGGAAACAAAAATGATTTTCAGATACAAAAAATAGAGTTTTATTTAGATTTGGTTCATAATATTAAATGATGTAAATTTACTTGTCTTGTTGTTTTAACTTGTTCAAGATGTAAGTTGAACATATAGGCCTATACTTCATTCCTAATCTTTGTTATTTGAAAATCAATATCCTCTCCTCATTAAAGGTATAAAACTATTGGTTAGAACAATAATTAAAGTCTATGGTATTTACCAAAACCTTCGGGAATTTAGTTTTACTTCATTTTGTAAAATTTGTCTGCAGTGAAATTATTCGAGGAATAAAATTTGACATATGACATTTGCTTTAAAATAGATTCACTGAAAGTAATTGACGAATATATTTCTCTAGTACTATACCATTTTGGATGTGTAGGCCCATATGTTACCCACACTAACACAACTTATACTTATTTATTTTTCACCGTACAGCATGGGAAATATCAAAAGAATATTCTTTTCATGCATATTTAAGAAATTTATTCCTTCCGCTTTTTCAGGATGTTCTGGTGAAGGAAGCAGAAGACGAACTTGTTAGTTCTGCATCAGATGACAGTCGATCAACAAACAATCAGAATAATTCAGAAATCAAACATCTTCGCATGAGTAATGACAAATTAAAAATGGCGCTAGCTCAAAGGTTCGTTTTCAAATTTCTTAAGGATTCTTAAGCATAAAAAAAATTATTTTAGAAATTTCCTTAAAATATCATGTGCCGTAATTAAATTTTTTTTATGGTAAATTTGAACTTGGATTAGATGAATATTTTATGGTCAAAAATTTTGAAGTAAAATTTAAATAACTTACTATTTAGACCAGTGGTTCCCAAACTTTTTGAAAAAAATTCTGTGGCGGACCTCTTGCAATTTTTTAATGATTCCCGGCCTTGTGCACCACAACAAAACATTAAAAGATCACAAAAAAAATTAATGCGCCATATAGTGAAACGAACAAAAGAGTATAAAGCGCAACACTAATGACCTGTGTGACATAGAGTCTGTTTCGATATTTGGTAAACGTACAAAAGCGTGTCCCCAGCAGTGATTGTGAAGCAGCAAAAGGCAACAAATGTGTATTTGGAAATTTAAGCACCTAATTTTTGTATTATCAAGCTATTAGCTATATTACCGATTTGTTTTACGGACCCTCTGAAAGTGCTTCACGGACCCCAGTTTGGGAACCACTGATTTAGACTATATTCTAATTTGGGTCATGTACAATGAGTTTAAATTGAAAAAGCAAGAAAATGAAGATGAACAATGATTCAATTGGTTTTAGGTTTTCAAAAACAATTATTCATACTGTGAGACATACTGTGAATTGCTCAAAATGATAATTTTGTTAAATGGAATTATTTTAAGTTTTCAAGAATTTAAAATATCAAATATAATTTTAATTTCAACATGTTTCGATTATTCTGCTCTTCTTGGTATTCCTTAATTAATATATCCTGCTTTATTTTACTTAGGGATTTTTTAAATTTGAAAACTTCCCATTAAAACCAGTTGCATGGTACAATCTCATGGTATTATACTCAAATATGGGTTTATCCGTAGTATGTGTACCAGATTAGGGTTAGGCCATAATTTCATATATAAGTGAATATCCCCCTGCCCATAGGTTTCAGTCCCTTTACACAACTCGATATAAAATAGGCGAACAAAATTAGTTACCTCTATATTGGTACACACACTTCTGGAGCGCCCAAATGTGGACATCACATACACCTACATACAAGTATTATATCATAAATTTACCAAATTACATTTATTCAACAAAAACCATTATGGCAGATTAATGGTAAACACACATCACGCTAACCCTTGTTGTTTTGTGATTTAATAAAATTTTTCACAGGGAATTCATATTCAAGGTCAATTTAACATTTCCTTATTCGGAACATAAAATTTCATGCCAATTTGCCTTCTCTTTTCTTTATATTTAAAATTGTCCATTGTCTTGAAACATCTGTGCAGCTAATGGTGTGGAAGATAATCGGAGAAATGTCAATGGATAAAGATTGCCAATTTAATTTTAATTCTGGGCAACGTTTTCAAATGAGACTTTCAATCAATTTAAAAATGTAATATGTAATGATTATGTGTTGCGATATTTTTGAGTTGCTATGCTTTTGTATCATATCTATGTAAAGCATTTAGAATCTCGCTTCAGTCTTTCTTTTGTTATAGCTGTCACTAAGATGTTCATAATTAACACTAGACTTTGATTCAATACAATACAGAAAATTTTGATTAAATGATAATAAATGCTATGATCTAATTTGATTAAAAACCTTCAAACATTTTTTGGGTGTCCTCAATTTTGAATTTTCTGTGCATCTAAATTTTCTGGCTATCCTTTGTGGACCGTTCTAATTTGTTTTAATTAAAAGCATTAATGTGAAAAATTTCAAAATATTTTATCTTCAGTTCAGCCAATGCTAAAAAATGGGAAACGGAACTTCAAGCATTGAAAAATACAAATGCCAGGCTTACTACTGCTTTACAAGAATCAATGTCCAATGTTGATCAGTGGCACAGACAACTTGCTTTATATAAAGAGGAAAATGAAAAACATAAAAAGAAGGTTAGATATGATGTATATTATGTGACTATTTTGAATCCCATGCACAATTTTAAATGTTTTCACTAGTTCGGGGCCTGGTACAAGTATGAATAACTACTGTATATCATGCATGTAAGCCGACCCCCTAAAAACGGCCATAAAATGATGAATTTATAAAAATTTGCATATGAAGCGACTCTACAAATCGCTCTTATTGTAAGAACTTAGTTAGTATGATTCGAATTGTGGCTGTTGGAATTAGGTTAGCACAATGTCATTTCGATTGAGTGCGATCAGAGTTATGCGCGAATAAGGCTGATCCCTCAGTTTGGCCACCTTTTTTTTCGAGTTTTAAACTCTGCTTATAATTATGGGAGTATACAGTAATCGCAATAAAGGCACTTTTCCCATGTAGAATGATCTCAGTCTTTATTAATCTGGCTCTTTCATTAAATGAATTTTTTAAAACAAGGTGAAGTGAGATCACTCACATAGAAGTAAAGGAGACTCATTTCTTGAAAACTTTATTATTTATTGAAACTTTATTACGAAACTTTGCATCACGAGCTGGAAAATACCGATTATGGCTATATTTGAAGCCGTTCATGTCAATATAATTAAGAACACAGTGGTAGTGTATTTCACATAACTGACTGGGGACAATTGTATAAGCTTCTTCATTCTTACATGGCTCACTGAAGGGTTATCGTAAATTTGCCTCATTTCTCATGTCTAGGTTGCTGAGCTGGAATCTGAAGTCTCTCAAACAAGAAATCTATCAGATCAAAATGCTGATTTAAGGAAACAGATTGAGTATGCTCGCAAGGATGCAAATGAGAAAGCACAGGAATGCAACATGCTGCAGCAACGGGTTGGAGTTCTTGCTGTCGTTGAAAATCAACACCAGGAACTGACAGTTCGATTAAAGGTGGGATTCGCGTGTGATTGAATATCAAAGTCTTTGTTAGTTTGACATTTTCTGCAGTTAGGTTAGAGCAATGGTTCACAACTGTTGATCCAAAGAGGAAATAAAATAACAAAATGAAACTACATGTCGTTGTGATATAGCGTACAAAGATAATAAATGATATAACCAGGCAACAGTGTAACATGATATATTATTCATGTGATCGGATAAGTTTATTCCTTTCAAAAAATTCTTCTACCGACTATTCAGTCGAGTTCAATTGGATGTTTGAACTGTTTGTTCTTGAGTCGTTTAACCATACAAGAAAAAGTTTCTAACATACCGCATCCTATATAGTTCATCCATACAACAATTTCGATTTCTTTACGAGGGTGATTCCCCAACTTTCTGGAAAATCATAAGGGTCCATAGATGTAGACGTGCCTCATAAAGAAGGTCTCTGGTCTTAATGAAGTCTTAATTTCAGTCATAATGGACAGAGCACGTACATGCAAGTGATAACAAGCCAGCAACACTGACATTGATTCTGTTATTTTTATATTTAGCAATCACAAAACGATAACAAACAGCTGAAAGAAGAAATCATTCGCTTGGAAGGTAGACTTGATGAATCTGGAAAAGCCAAAAGCAAGAGGAAACTAGAAGCGCAGGCGCTGTTAGGAAACCTTGCAGATAAGTTGACAGACATTACAGAAATTACACAAAAGTTACAAGGAACCTTGTAAAGAGCAAACTGACAACATTTACACAATGACATGCGAAGTTGTCATCAACTTTATTGTGTCGAAAATGTTATTATGCAATCGACTTAACAATTGATTTCTAATTTGTTGAGTTTGAGCGATTGGAACAAACAATTTCCTATTTTTCCCTTGAAGCTGATGTTTTAATTTAGCCAGTGATTTTATCCCCTGACCATTTTGGCTAGAGCATTAATAAGTATATTAAAGATTAATGCGGTGATTCGGCATATTTCAACTAAATATTTTATTTTAAAAATGAAGCAACTTAGTAATAACTTTGTAATATTTCATTTGGAAAAATTTTTGGAACATTTTGGATTCAGAGCTAGATAGCTGTTAAATTTGATATTATGCTCTTGATAAGTGTAGCAAGAATCATCGATAGTTTTTTAAATTTCATTCACATCTTAACAGTGTTTTATCCACAAATGAAGCTGTTCTTTATTTCAATTTTACCTTGTCTGGCATAGTTTATTTTCACATTTTGCTTTCGGTTGATAAAAGGTGCTCCACTCACTGTTGTGTTACATTGTTCAGTCGCAGTGCACTGCCTATTTTGTAAATGTCCCAACTTGTCTACCTGCTTATAAGAATGTACAGATTTATTTGTTGCTGCTTCCCTAACTCTCGGCTCGTTACATATCTCGTTTACTAATTGCACTTACCCCTGTGGTTGTTGAATTCTCCACCCTACACATTAGATAGAGCTGTAAAGCTTTTTATCAAAAATTGGTCGTTTTCTTTGTGTCTGTTATGCGAATGTTAAAAGTACCAGGTCTGTTGTCAAGATACACCTATTTATATATTCCTCCAGCTTCGAGAAAAAAGACAGTTTTCAGTTCTTTTCTCTTGTCTGTACTCATTTCCAATGGTTGCTGTTCGTTTAGTTTTTTACAAACTAGGCTGTTTTTTGTATGTCGTTTTTATTAATTATATGTCTTTACTTTGAATATTTATAACATATACTAATAGCTTATATACATCATTAAATATGGTAAAAATAAGAATTCTGTGTTTACCTAAAAATACTTTGAGTATATTAGTTTTACTGAATTCAGACACTACTGATTCTTCTCCCTTCCTGGGAAAAAATTATTGTTTTGCCACTACCTGTCATTTTTGTTATTGCCAGAAATTGCAGTTGATCTATATCTCGAAATTATTTACTATTGGCTCATCTTTAATTTGTTACTTACCGTTACCGGTAACAAAAATTTTCGTGTGATGCATAGGATTTTTGGATATTTGAATCCATTCAAAACGAACATGTTCGATATTCATATTCTTTTTATGAGAACAATTTAAAATAGTTAATTGGATAAATTGCCACTTGGGTTCGGAGGATTTGAAGTCTCACAGTATAAACAGAAAGGCTTTCATTTAATTAATGGAAACTAAAATGAAATTGACTTAATGTTTATCTGAAAATTCCCTGCATTTACAAAAAAGTTCATCAAATATACAATGAGTTTTATGTGTACTTGTGGACTGTGGTTGTCCATGGCCCAATATAGAAAATATTCCAAAGTTGATTTAGAATGTATTCAGAGCGGTAGAATATTCGGATTTAGCCATATCTTGCTAAATATGATGAACATGTCATCAAGAAGTTGCAATTTTCTTCTGTTAAATGTGCTTTTGCAAGCTGTACAAACTGAATCTGCAGAGTGATTTCTCATTCATTGTAAACAAACTGTAATATATTCTTTTCCACAGTAGCAGTAATATGCTTTTGTATATGCTTACTGCAATGCTCTATTTCTATTTTATCCCTTGAACTAACAAATTCTTCACTAGTTTTTATCAATTACATGGTTTGTATTTTCATATATATATATATATTGCTGCTATTTTGCCCTATGTTGAAAATGTATTTCATTTCTTAACAATTTAAGGTCATTACACTTAGTTAAATAAACAGCCAAGTTGAATGCTATTTTACACACTCAATATTATTTTACCTGACCCTATCTTCAACGTGTCGCTGTTTCTATATGTGATTTTCATATATGAACAACTTCCTAGCTTTGAAATAAACCTCATTTGATTGTCAACAACCTCTGATGAATTTCTTCATTATTTATGAATTTATTTGATATTAGAATCATATTGCTAAATGCATTTCAACTATATTGAAACTAACAATTTCAAGTTAATCCTAGGAACCAGGGCTTTGGAGTCCGGAAATAGTTACGCAGGACTCCGAACTCTGATCCATTTAAATACCGACCCCTGGTTGAAAAAAATTTGTGTATGCAAGCAAGCCTTTGTTACTTGTCTGGTGAGAATACTTTGTCAATTTATTGTTTTAGTTTCACCGAAAATTTTGTCTTTGATCTTTATAACTATCTTATCCATGTAAAATGAAAAAACAACACCACGGCTCTTGTAGTAACTCATATGCAGCTTTTATTTTGCTTCTCAGAGTGGTTCCTTGACCAAGCAATTGCTGTAGAAACCAGATGAGTTGAAGTACTTGGTGGTTTTTTATTGTTTGAAACAGTATTGAATTACTGCTTTGTCATCGTATTTCTTGGATATTTAATGATTTCGTTCAATTTTCTTGACACCAACGTTCCAAGGTCTCTTAACCTTTACTTTTAAAAAAATATTTTGGGAGTTAATGATTCAACAAATAAAAATTTCACTAACTTGCTGATATGAATTTTGTGCCGAGTATGTCTATACAGTACTTATGATCATTAATTAGGAATAGACATGAAAAAATGGTGCTTCATGCAAGAGTAAGCCACGCTCTTGGCATAAGTTGGCTAGTTGTTAACAAAATTTAGAACGTAGGTGCAATTTTACTATTCTGATAAAACCCTCTAAGAATATCTGCAAAAATTATGTCCGTAGACCATATTGATAAATCACAGGATGAGAACAGAAGGGGCCTAAGTCACATTTTTGGAATTTCACTCTTTTCAGTATTTTGGGGTTTTGAGCCAGCCATGCTCTACAAGTTGGTGGTCTTCAAATCCTGAATTTCTCAACATTAAAAATTTTACCTGGTCCACCGCTATCCTTCTCTAGAGTTGGTTTCTTAACTTGCGCCAACTAACAAATGATCACTTACGGTAAATGACTACATTAGTTTGAACCCTATTTACTGTAATGCTTTCATTCCTATTATTTGTGGTGTATTATTTGTGGTGTATAAGACAACTGCTGCAAACAAGTAAAGGGTTATGTATTTTGTGAAAGTTTGAGAGCACTGCTCATTTTAGGATCACTCCAACATGGCCTGATTCTACTAAACGATTTAATCCCCATAGTCAAGTGGCATGATCACACTCAATACTGTACATATACAAGAGACAAATATTGAAAAACAAGCTAGAAAAAAATGTATTTTATTATTGATCAGCATAAATGGCAGTGAACATTCAAATAATAAATTTTATCTTGGTATTCTATTCCACCGGTATCATGAAAGAACAGGCTCTTCATCTGTTGCAATTTCCATATGATTTAACCATTCCTTATACTGTTTGCGAAAATTGAAAACTTTATGTTCAAAATCTGGATCAGCAGATTTCCACTGTCATAAAAAAACAGAATCAAGCATAGGTGTTTATGCAGTAACTGAATATCAAAATCTGTTCTGATTTATTACCATACAGAGTCAAATATCTCTGAAGACACAAGCAGTGGTGGGATTCAGCCGGTTCGCACCGTTTTTATAGAACCGTCTCACAGAATTTTATGAGATCAGTTAGCATTACTGTTTACTGTCAATGTTCTTTTTGTAACAGAACCGGCTGCAAAAGCTACTAACAGAGTAAAGTGAAAAAAATTGTCAAACTATGGTATATTTGAAAGTAGTCGAATTACACCAGTGCACTGAAGTTCTATAGTTTATAAACTTTGACTTTCTGATTGAGTAAAATAATACTTAGTTAATGAAGGTTGTATTTTGAATTATTCTTTATTACCCTGTTATATCCCTCTGGCCATTCCGATGCTTTCTCCAAAAGTTCAATCGTTTGATGATCAGCTTTCACGTTAGATTGTTTCATTTCATAAATAATTCGACTGAGATATCTGTAATCATATCCCTTCACATCTGTATAACAAATATTTACTTTGAGTATGTAGCATCAAACGGAAATAGCACTATAGTCAAGACTCACAAAGGCTGTAAAATATTCTCAGAAGCAAATAAAAATGATGAAAATTATCAGATCAATTTTATAGTGTTGAGCAACATGTCGGGTGATATTCTGCATATGCAGATGCCTTTACTAAAACTACAATTTCGTGATGCAGTCATTGAAACGCTAAGATAGTAGGCCTATGGAAGGCTCCAAAAGCGCCAATCATTTATAAACATTTAATAAAACCTTGAAACGAAATAAATTATTTCGCATTCGCGCATTGACTACATGGGCAAACCTTCATATCCTGTTATTCTGGTTCCTCTAGTATTCTTCAATGCTGTAGATATTAAACTGTTGAAAAATATGTGATCAAATTCAACCTGAAATTTGAAATGAATGGGATTGGTTATGTAACAAAACTAGGGTATACTCCATCAATAGGGTTGGGGCCAAGGCCATCTATTGCCTTTTCTATGCTTTTGGGCTGGTAGACCACTATTACCTATAATTAAGACATAGTAAATATTTCGCACATGTACTCACAGCTAGCTTACCTTATAGAAATATTCTAATCTACTATATCTTACAAATTTTACATTGTTGTGGGCTTATGGCACGATGCTTGTAATCTGATTTGAATTGAAAGTAAGTATTTACAAAGGTTTTATTCATAGAAACGAACGCTCATACATAGGCCTACACCTGACTTGCTTTTAAACTGGAGAACCTTTACCAAACCAATGCACGGCATTTCATTATTCATACTAATCCTTATCACCTCATTATCCAACTTACATTGGCGTTTTTAGCTTCATTTATCAATGCTACTCCATAGTGACCTTTCACACATGTTAATGCCATTGTGCACCAGGTACGATAATTTGGTGCAAACTCCTTTGCCACCATTTTGCTCAAAATCAACTGAAAAAAGAAAAATATTGTTTCTAGATTTGCTAATTTGCCTTAACAAAAATCAAAATCACCAGGAATACTTAAAAGGGGCATTCCAATAATTAGAGAAAACAGAAAAACAATTTGGATAAAAACATGCAAGGAAAATCAACTTGGAGTGATATCGAGTATTTGTTCTAAGAGATATGCTTCATTGTTGAATTTAGATTTGTTTTAACATAGAATAGAACCGTCTCGATTAAGAATGAAAACCAATACATGCAAATTGAGACTTGTCATTAGCATGTGCATAACTCAAAGTCAGGTTTTACATCATTTATGAAGTTCACTTGTTCCACATGATTAATATCAGATTTTATGACGTATTGAACAAATTTAAATTAGTTGGGATAAATGCTGAAAACACTTAATTATATTGGAAATCTTTCAATTGTAAAAAAAAAATCAATGGTTAAATGGCCTTAAAATAAAATATTTAAATCTCACCCCCACCACCTCAGTCAGGGTGTAATAAATCGGATAGGCAATACTGAACCATTCCAGTTTTCCCAAACTATAATATTTGCTTGTATGGAGCCTTGCTTGAAGCAGAATGCATATAAATACTGTATAAAAAAATTAAACAACCTTTGTTCCATTCATATCAAATCTTCCTGCTCTTTTCCTTATAATCAAGTTGAAAAAATCTGCATCAAGTTTTACGTTATTTTGTTCTGCAAATTCAATCACTTCGTCTTCAGCTTCTCTATTCGATTCCAACACTTGAATTAATGTTGATAAGAGCTTGACAGAAAACAAAAAATTGTGAGTAAATTGTAAGGTCTGATTAGAAAAAGATATTTAAGACCAACACTGAAATATAAGGGCCTTGATAAGTATGACTGAACAGGTTATTTTCTTGATAAATGATGCTTAACCATATTATCAATAAGATCACATGCTATATTATAAGTCCAGGACATGATTGTGACAAACCTCAAAAGCCACGATTTTCAACATGAATTTATTTATATGGTTCATTATTATTGCTAATGACTGTGACTTACGACTGCATATTTAGTAGAAATGCATCTCCACAGGGATGTACAAAACAAACGGAATATTCGCATTAATTTGAAATTAACATGATTCAGTATTTTAATTATCAACAATTTAAAAATGAATACATGTGAGTTGGTCATTTTGGTTTTGATTTTGGTCTTTGTATAACATGAAAAATACTATTTATTTACCATTACAGTTGGCTTAATTTCATGTTCTTTCATTATTTCAAAAACATGCTTATGCCCTCCAATCAGCTGCAATCTTAACCATGGCCGATCGCACCTTGCAATACTGACAGGAATATTATTATTTGGAGCAGGTTGCAAATCATTTTGAAAAGGCAGTAGTAAGAGGTTCATCTGTCTTTTGGATGAGTCTGACACAGTTGATATTGTCGCATCAATTACAATATCAGAAATTGGCTTATATGACAAAGAAACTTTGTCGTCTTCGATAATTTCGTTACTAATTTCAGACTGTAAATTTGTCTTAATTTTTGGAATAGCTTCAGACAGTTTTTCTTCAATAATGCCTGCGTCGATTGTTAAAATCTCTGGTGATGAAGGCGCATCGATTCCTGGTAATTGTTTCTTTGTGGCGGCCTGTCCTTTCAACCAGTAAACTCTTCGTAAATTATTCTTAAAGAAATCTTTATACTCAGCAGGGTCTGGAAGTTCAGTGACAAGTTTCCTGAAATCAAGATTATGCGCCGGTTGGACAACAACTTATATTTAAATTGAGTCACTCACTCAACCTAATTTGAACATAAATATTCTTTCAAGGCCAAGAGAAGCAATATCATTGTAGGACACTCCACTACAAAATCACATAATACGTTCAAATACTGTAAGATAGTTGAAAAAAAACCAAAAACAACAATTAATCATCAACACTCAACAGTTTCAACTAAACTTCAGTAAATGGGAAACCTTTGTTCTGGGTAAAATGAAAGTTTTTAGTGTTTATATGTTTAGCAGTCGAATAATATCACCCAACACACTCTATTGAAATAATAATTTAATGAGATAACACATGACACATCCTATGATAAAGTTAACCAAATGATATTTTCAACAACCGGTCTTTATAGACACACTATTGAGTTTTCAATATGAGAAAAACGCCCGATTTTACAATATGACTTGATGCGAAGGACCACTAAGATTCTATGTTCATCAACACAAGTCTATCCCTGTATACCTGTATGCTAAATCCGGACTTCCAATTCCACAATGTTTTAAAACTTTCAATAAATACATGATTGATTTTCCATCTGGTTTTATATTTAACATCAGCATCATTCTCCAAACCTGAAAATAGTGTTAAAAGTATATCTGAGTATCTTTTGACCGAATATATATCGATTGTAAATGCTTTAGACAACACACTGAAATAGAGCCCTTTGGTCTATGAGAAAAAGTCAGAATATAACTAACAAGTTGAATTATGTTGACTTCACAGATCAGACTCCGCATCAACCACCTCAAAGAGGGTGGAATCAACTGTGTAGGTAAGGGTTAACGTCTTTCTTCAGAGTTGAGTTTACAGTTTACAGTCTGTATTCTGGCAATAATTACAAATGCAATAAAAAATAAAATGCAAACCTCAATTGCATGCCTGAATCCAGCTTCTTTATCTCGTTGTAAACATAACAGAATCATATTAAATGTTTCAGAATCTGGTTCAAACCCAGCCATAATCGATTCACGAAATATTCCCAGCATCTGTTCTGTGGTTCCATGTTTACCGAAAGCCTTCAATCAATATGAATGGCAAGAATTTCATAACTCATCAAATAGAGAAAGTCACTAACATAATTAAACCAGAAATATGGAGAATTAAATACCTGTACTAATCAATCATCATCCAACCTTAATATTGTATAGTTGGAATTAGAAAAAACATATTACATACCATGAATTAAACTGCATTTAGAATGAAATTTTACCAAGAATACCAAAACTTACCGCCTATTATACTGAAATTGAAATTACGGAGGATAGAAAATAAATTTTATTCATTATACCTAATTGAGGGAAGATTGTTATGTCGACTAACCTTAATTATAGCGTTGTATGTTATTCTGGAAATTCTTATATTTGATTGATGTATCTTTGCATATAAATTGATTGCTTTTTTCAGGTTTGAGCTGTCAAAAAAGGTTACATTATTTCAATAGAACACTTCATTTTGATGTTTTTAACAAAATCAATAGTCAAGGGACATCAGAAGACTACGTACTTTTTGATTGCACATACCAAATTTTAATTACATGTTTACCCATTATGGCAAACTATACAGATCCTTTTTCATGAATTTCAAACTTATTCTTCAAATTTATTCATATTAGATATATCAGTCATGTGCTATGTAGTTTCCCACTGCAAGAAGCTCAATTACCAAATAAGATGAAAGATCTACCTGTTTGAAGATTGTGCGACTGCATTGAATAGCCCAGTATACGTAGCTTCAGAAGGGCTTATTGCTCGTTTCCGCATCTGTAAACGAAAAATATAATTTCTGTGATAATTCTTAGCTACTATAATACAGCAAATGCTTGACAGTTCTACCAAGATAGGTTAACAGCTTTAATCCAGAGTTTGTCTTTCATTCGAGAAAATATCAAGTGGTTAGCACAGGGTGGTTTCTACCAAGATAGGTTAACAGCTTTAATCCAGAGTTTGTCTTTCATTCGAGAAAATATCAAGTGGTTAGCACAGGGTGGTCCAAGGTTGTTGGCTTCGCGGGCCACATTATTATTTTTGTGATATTCGCGGGCCACAATGGTGCCAAGAATAGGTAAATAGTGCAATACAAAACATACACTTTTATTGTCCAAACACACTGATCATTATTTGTCAATTATCAAGCTAAAACCACCAAAAAAACTCAATAAAAGGTGCAAAAAAAATCTTACTATATCTACAGTTGGTGTAAGATTTCAAACTCCTCATCTCGGAAAAAGTGCCATAAGGAAAAAAAATTGTCACCGACACAACTTGCAGAGATATCAAGCAAGCATTGTGATATTTTATCTCCCATATCCAGTCAAAATCTATTAGTCAACTTGCTTTTTAAACTCATGTTTAAACTCACAAATAACTGAGGCTTTTAGGCTGGTTGCAAAAAAACACTCGGCGGGAATTATATTGTTCGGCCATTATATCAATATTTGGTTATCAGGCATACCCAACCTAGACTAATAGATTTCCCTAGATTCTAGTTTACTATGAAACCTATTCTGTTAGCATATATTCCGGACCAAAAATATAGAAAGCCAGTTAACAATTTAGAGTTTTGACTACAAAGTACATTATCACTTCGCTAGTTGCCTCAGCTAACCATGACACTAGTCAATTCATTGACATGTAGTGATGTCGAAAGATTCTAGTTATTTTTATGACAAAAGAACACCGAATGCGATTTTTGTTCACTTTGGCTCAAATGCAACGCAGGCCACAGATAATGAAGCGGCTTGGGTTTGGACCACTCTTAGTTAGCATATCATCAGAGGTGGACATTTTAATTAGGGTTACAGTCTTACAGATCTCCGTTTAAAATTAGGATTTTGAAGACAATTACACCATGGTATCAAAATATAATCAGTCTGTAAAATGATCTCTTAACAATTCCCACTAACGATAATATGTCAAGTGAGTACTTTGCTAAGTTCCCTTATAGGAGCATAAATATAGTTGAATCCATCAAAAACATAACATCTACCAAGAATATTACTGACATTCAAAATACGTGTATTTGTAAGAAACGTGTTGAAAAAATGACGTTGTCCTTTATTCACACTAAACCAAAATGACTACTTGTCCAGGGCATTGCTAGGATCGAAAAAGTAATTAAATCCAACAAAGACACTTCATTAAGAATATCACTTAAAACTACCTACTTGTATGTATAGTTGAAATGCCTTATTTACATATCCCTTTCTACCTAATGCGCCAATAACAACTGTATAATTCATTTCTTCTGGAAAAACTCTATCTTCTTTAAGCATTTTTTGTTGAAAAAATTGAAGACATTCTACTGCCTGAAAAGTATTAATATTCAAGTTAAAAAATAGGAAAAAATCAGACTTTATATTTTGGGCTATTCCAAGTGACACTACAGGACAATTCCAGAAATTTTGCATGTTGTTGGATGCAATATATTTTTACATTTTCAGCTACATGTTTTGTTTCATTGTCCAATCAGTTGCTTTATTGAATATGTAAAAAATTGCACAAAAGTCACACCCAAGACTTACTTAGTAGATAAAAAAAATATAGTAAAATATATACGGCAAATCCACCATGCACTAACAGTACGTTGTGTTGTGCTGTAAATTTATGCGATGGTACAGTGGGAGCCCATAATATTTTCTAGTGCAGTAGCTGAACTACCCCTCTATGTGTTGCTCAAATTACTTAATGTAACACTGTAAATCCATGCCAATAATGAGCATATTGTATGTGACACTACAGGACGTGACACTACAGGACATTTTTCCACTTCGGAATAGCGGCCTCTATCATCTCTTAAAATTCTGGTAATAAATCGTTAAATGGGTGAAGAAATGTCCTACAGCACTGCAAACATTTAAACTTTACTAACTTAAATCCAAATGAAATAACTGTACCACACAATCAAACACTTTGTGTCAGGAATCATCACAAAATATGTCAATTATACCATATGTCAATTATATTTCAGGCCATTTTTTTATAAACCATCAAAAATCTGGGTGAAATTTTGAATTGTTCGATGAAATGAATGCAGTCCAATAAAATTCCAATGTCTTTTGATATCAAAAATAAAAAAAAATTTCCTTCACTTCAGTTTTTAAAAAATTTATGGAATTCAACTTTTGCTTGGAATGGCCCTTATAATTCTGGGTGTAAAATTAGTACAACAAGCTAGGATGAAAAATGGGTCGACTACAAACAGACAACCAAAACATGATGAAAAATGCACTGCCCGAACTATATCTATACCGGGAATGAGTCGATATAGAAGCTTAATCCGGCCATACACCCAAGGTGTCAGTGGGCTATTCATTTTCACCTACAAGTTGCTACAACTGAGTCATATTCAGAGTTATTTTATTTGTCACTACAGTAAAAACATTCAACAATAATAAAGTTCATACAATAAGTATTGGAATGACAGATGTTGTGAAGAAAGAAATGCTCCATCATTGAGTCTACAACACCTTTACCACTGCAATAATGCTAGATACGATTCCACATGATAGTGTAGAACATTATTACCTGACCTTGTCTTGTTTTGCCAGTTTTTTGCATTGTTTGAAATACCAATAAGGTGTATAATTAGAAAACAATTTTGCTTTCGGAATATCTTCCTCATCTTTTTCAGGAGGCAATCTATCTTCTGCCGGAAGCTTGAATACAGAGAAACCTAAACTTGAACCAAAAATTTATCAATTAAAAATCTGCAATCACATTTTTTTGTCGTTTTTCATATTTAAATATAATTTTGACCCCATTCACATCTTATGAGGGACACTCGAACAAAGTGTTTTTATCTTCAGTGAGGCACATCTCGAGACCCGAATCAATGGTGACAGGACTTGGCACACACGTTTTTTATAATTTTATCAAAGGGAAGTCAAAAAAAGACTCATACCAGAACTTATGCCACCAAGGTAGCAAATTAAACAACGAAGGCAATACCTAGAGACCTATGGACAAAACAAAAGCAAATCATCTCATTGTACCTTTTCTTTCGGCAAGGCTTCCAAATTCTTCAGTCTCCTTGTCATCAGGTACAGATGAACTGGCTGAAGACCACAAGCTTTGGCCAACTTCTACATCACCATTATTCAAAGCTGAATACATGCTAAGTCTTGCACCTGTGAAGTTGTACACAACACGGCTCATAACCCGGCGCACAATACGGTGAAAATTCATGGATAAATTGCCACATTTAACAAAAATCGTAGTTATAGCTGCAAAAATACAAAAAAGGTATTTAGCAGTACAAATGGCCAAAATACATTTCGCAAGCTTAACGCATAGCTTCAAACATAATGCACCGTATGCATTTCTATCCCAATGACATGATATGATAGAATACTGACAACTCTGCACATTTTCAAACATAGAAATGGCCAATATCGATATAAAAACGAGATTTAAATTACATTATATTTTGTAAATGCTCTTATTAAACAAAGTTTATCAATTTTCCTAGTTCCTGAATCATTTATAGATACGATGACTTAATTATTAGTAGTTATGATCTGATCGCCATTAAAAATTTCAGTTTCTCAATCCAAGAAGCCGTAAATGCCATATTGTGATTTATCATTGCAAGATGGCTCATGAAACTGCTGACAGTTACCAGCATCTTCATCGATTAATTGCAATCGACTTCTCTCAATCATCAGTTGATGTCGATACATAACTGGGATCATTCCACTACCCCTAATGAAGTAAATGAAGAATAAACCCTGCTATGTCATCTTCCTCCGATAACAAATCTTGGTTCTTCAGAATCGTCTTCTTCCTTATTTTCTTCATCATTTTCTGATTCAGGAGAATCACTTGCTTCTTTTTGATCTCCCTCTTTCTGCTTCTTCAATTGCTTTTTCTTGAAGAGCATTTTTTGCTTTTTTCTTTTTCTTTTAGCTCTCTTTTTTGCAGTTGATTCCTCTTCTTTATCCTTTATACTTTGTATCTTGTCTTCATATTCAAGATCAAGTCTTTGTTTTTTATCCATTTTATCATGATATTCCTCCCGGGCAAATTCCCTTCGCCTGATATGACGATAAACATGAAATTCACCACTTCCTGCACCAGCACTTGAACCCATAACATCACGAACAAATTCAGGTGCATCACGTGGCTTCCATATTTTTTTTGGTTCAGGAATGTAAACAGGTTTATCAGGATTTTTCATGAGTTTTTCAACTTTTAATTTCTGTAGTTCGGCCATACTTTTTGGATGAATCACCTTCTTTTCGGCTGCTTCTTTCGGCATCTTGGCTTCATTTCTAATTGGTAACTCCATTTTCAAAATGAATATTTCTGTATTTGGGTCTGTTAGTACCTAACTAACTTACAGACTTAACTGTAATTCAGTAATTCGTTGATTCAATTATTTTGTCAAATAGCCTATTAGTGTCTTTTGTTGTGAGACAGTGAGTAGCCTACAGAAGTAATTGATGTCACTGACATACAACATTAACAGTAACAGTAGGGATGTCCGTATCCGAATAGTCTACTAAACTAATCTAGAATAACACTGAAAAAACATTTCGAATATCATTTAATACAAAAATACAATAAAGTTCATCACATTACACATCACCATCCAATATAATCCCCATCACTGCATCATCATTGTATGTTCCATTAATTCAGCATCAGTATCATCCAATTTTTTCAAATACATATTCACAAATACATACAATAAATTCTTGTGATACACCTCAATGAATACAACCAAGTGAGGATTGCTGGACTCCTCGCCGTCGTAGGGTGGTTCATGTAACCGTTGGTCGGCTGCGGCTGCCTCCACCATCAAGCTTACGCATATAAAAAACAAATAACTGGCTAATTCAGGGGTCACCAAACTACGACCCGCGGGCATGATCTTGTCCGCGGCGTCATTTTATCCGGCCCGCAATAGCACACAAAAATGACTAAATTTTTTTCCAAGAGAGAGAGAGATTTATTGTTTTGTCAACCGTAAACGAACAATGGTATACAAAATAATATATACAATATACACAAAGTTAATCCGGTATAGACTGGGGGGAGCGATACGACCATGGGGGCATCGGAGTCAGCTCCCCCCAAGTTCACTATTAGGATTCACAGTTAAATGTATATAAGGGAGAATCTCCCGAGCATCTTCTTTCTTGTTTATTTCGTAACATTGGCCAATCAGAAAGATGCAAAGAAAGTGACGTAATAATAGGCCTTTTCGCATCCGCTAAGACACTTTTGTCAACCTGACAGATTTTAGGTTGAGGTTGTAAACAATACTTCGTTTTTGCGAGTTTGAATGCTATTCGTATATTTGTTTTGCTAGGATGTTCTCGATCTCTATTCTGCGATATAGATATAATTTACCGGTAATATTCAAGTCTTCACAAATGTAGAATATATATTGTCGAATAAATTGAATGGATTTCCCAACTTTTGTGAATTTATTGTATTGCATTTATAAAATTCATCCGGCCCGTTTCGGCACAGTTTGAGTCATACCCGGCCCGCGGTCAAAAAAGTTTGGTGACCCCTGGGATAATTAATCCCATACGCCATACGGTACCGATATGGACTGGTAACCGGACGACAGGTGTGGTTCGCCATATGATTAAGCCGTATTATCGACTTTCCTTTCTCTCGGGATGAATATGTAAATCCTATCCTAGCAGCTCAGGATAATATAATATATACTACTTTTCTGGACGAAAAATAAAGAACTTTTAGAAATATGTCAAACGCAATAACCAAGAAGCTCGGGAAATTGAAGCACATAAGTTGAATCGCGGACAAAGACAGTGTTCATCAATTAGTCTTCATTTTCAACAGAAGTGAATGGTGGTGTGGAAAAGGAAACGACAAAACTGATAGGCTATATAAAAATTCTTTCCTGACCACTCGATTCAATGGATATTTTCCATTTAAACATTTCTCGTTGACTGACACTCTCGCTTCAATTTACTTTTTCAAATTTTCTTTATTCGTCATAACATGTTTAAGAACTAGTAAAATCATTTGACTTGTTTGGCGTCATCCGCTGCTGAACCAGGTAATTATTATGTCACTGACACGATAACTTGATTGTCGTTCGCGCTCCTCGTCAATTGCGGTCGGAACGTTTGTATCACAGCATGAATACGCACGGTATTATTGCATTTCATATTGTTGTTTGCAACGCTCTTGTGTTACGAATAAAAGATTAACACTTGTTTGTATATTTTATCCTACTGTGCCCCGTTGTCGAACGTCAAATTAATATGACCACTCGCAGCATAATTACGGTATTTAATACACAGGGTTAAACTTGATTGCAAACAGTTGAATCCGAATCAATTGTCGTAGGCCTACAGTATATATATATACATTAGTTTATATATAAACAGAATGTTATCTACGCTACTTTTGAAACATTTTATATTATAAAAACGTATAATGACTGATATATTTTAAAACATCGTGATTTGTAGCTGGCTTCAACCAAACGTGTTCATTACAGTGCCCCAAATACTTGACAAAGCTATCCAGAGGAAGACTGAAGGACGGGAACAGCCTGCTGATCCTGAAATAAAACACATAATGGAGTAGAAATGTTCGATTATCTTGACGAAAAACAATTATCAATATAATCTATGCCTGAATACAGTAGGCATGGTGAGTTGAAACACAAACTAGTGCTACAAACTTCAAATCAGTATGCAGTCCGTACAATCGTATGCGGTGGCGGGCGTAATGGGCAAGATTTTTTATTATTCATTTTGAACAATTTTCCGTCGAATTCTGAGAAAACAAAGTTCTTTGCATTGAAGTTTTTCGTAACTTTGGGCTTCACTTGCGAGTTTTAATTATGTGACTCTAATTTGGGTCCAAACAAAATAATGCCAATATGTTTTCGAAAGAGTTGCGTTTAAGCTGCTAGCCTAGGTTTACATGAGTTGCCAGATTTTTTAATACCAATCTTATGACTATTTTCCAACGAAATGCTGTTTATGAAATGAATAGCCAGTTTGAGCTGGTAGACTTGCTGAAGAATACATATAAAATCTTGTGATAGTAAGGTGAGGCATGTATTTTTATGAAACCAGAAAAGTCTAAAATATTGGTAAATGTACACCATTCATTGCACATTTGTGTCACAAACCTGTGGTGCTTTGTTCACTTGTCTTAGTTGGTGCATCAGTGCTCATGTTTCCGTGTAAATATGTGATTTCGTGTTGAATCGTAGTGGTATCTGGGTATACATGCGTTATTGAAGTTGTTAGGCTTTGTGTTGTCACTTTCAAATAAAACCAATGGCTTACGTTGTGAGCAATACACTCATAATCGAGGGTATCAAACTATTAACTTGTCAATAGGTTTTACCTTCCTGGAATTTTTGCGTTCACGGACAAACTGATTTATTTAGGCAACTAGTGAACTAGTAAAAAAATGCAGGTTGAGAAATGAGATGATTTCATATAATAATGTATGGGAAAACGAAAAGATGGTTGGTTTAAAGTCTACAATGCGTTATCACTATACCTTCAATATTGACATCTCCTCTAGCAGGATTACTACAAAGTTTATCAACGCAGACGTCTTGGTCATCACATTGTGAACAGGATGTTCCTTTTATATAAGGCTTGTATCCTGAGAAATGAAATTCGCACATTCTAATGATGTCAAGTATATACTGCAAAATTCTCTCAATGTAAATTGATGAATCAAGTTACAATCAATTCATAACCTCGCCAAGGACGGCTTCGGTGTTGTTAAAACTTACCCTTTTTTTAATTATTTGAAGGTTGTAAAGATAAAAATGTCTTATGGGCACCAAAAACCACCATTGGTGGCTTTGCGGAGGATTTTAGTTTAGTGATATTGTTAATGAAATCAATTACTCAGTAGATAACGTAGGGTAGCGCACCTCGTATGTTTCCCCCTGGTGCATAATTGCAGGCAAATAGAGTCGCGTCTGTCCATATTTTACCGTCGACAAGGACAGATTCACAAGTTGTCATTCCACAGCCAACTTTATATGATTGAGCCCATACCACCTGAAAATAGGATAGTTTACCCGCTTTTCATCCTGCCTATTTTGTGTTGCGCTGGGAATGAAATTTTGGCAATAAATAAAGTCAAATGTATATATGTATATATATACATACATAATATTTAAAACAAAATTTGCATATAATTTTTTAACATCTTATCGTCCGGAATATTATAATAAAATGAATGCTCAAACGAAAGGATTCCGCAACCAAAGTAAGACGGATTGTCTTGTGTGCTGTCATTTTTTTATGCGTCGTTGCGAAGTTCAGGAGAAAAAAAATGGTAAAAGTAACAAATATTCATCGAGGACAATTTTGTTCAATTCGTATTTAATCATCAATAAGAACCGTACGCTTGTATTACCGCAGTCATACGTTTCACAATTCGCATTACCTCACCACAAAAAGTTAAAATCGGACGATCGTGGATCTTTTGGCATAATGTCAGGTCAGCAAAAATTTCGTCCAACATTACATAACGTTTTAAAGAATGTAACCTGAAAGAGAGAACGACCCAGCGACGAATATCCCGCAAACTGGCAACATGACGCGGCTCTATGAATGCCGATCACTGCATCAAGATATACCGGCATTCGTAGATATGGGGAACAGCGCCGCACCGAGAAAAGTCGTATAGTCTCAAGGTCCTATTCAAATAGAATACCATACCTGAGTATAATGACCACAAACTTTTCCTGGAGTACATGTCAGTGTATCAAATGAGTAATCACGTTTTTCATCATCCCAAGCCACAACCGCACCAGGTCCATAATTTTCGTCTATTTTTCTCCCCATCGAAATATACAAATTTTCACCAACATACGTAAATCCGTCCAATTTACGATCCTGAATGTGTACATCAAACACAAGGAAAAATAATATGTTTCATGGTGTAAAAAAAATTTAGTCTGGTTTTTCACTTTTCTGAGGAAGATGAGAGACGATATGTACAATATTTTCGTGTTAAAAATAATAAACAAAGTTTGCGACATATGTACAACAAGCTGAATCTTGGAAAAAGGTTTAAAGTGTGTGTAGGAGTCACCAGGAACATTCCCCTGCCACACAGGATGGGATATAGAACCAATCGTTAAATTTATTCAACTATCTTTGACATTTTCCTCGCAGACGTTGCTCCTTTTGGAATTATATATATATATAGCACGATACTAACTAAAACACATTTAATTGGCATATAAATGAAAGTGCATTTCGATCAATTTCAAGGAACAAATTAAACAAAATAATCACTGTACGCCCGGTAATGTCTGCAAACGAAAATTTATGTTTTATAGATGCATTTATTGCATCCTTTAAATATATTTTTACTACTTCCATCTTCATATATTCTTTGCTTCATTATGATTAACCTGTTAAAATCAGATACGGAAATATTCAAATTGAAACATTGTGATGCAAAATTCGATTCGAGGATGGAATATTTGAAACTTACATCCCTGATTGTTGTCTGTCTGAAATCATACGATTACGTAGCATCTCTAATACCTAATTGTTCATACTTGGTATTTATTGAAGCAAATAATCGTTTGAAAGTTTTGATATTTATTATACCAAGTCTTGAGTTCTCTAACCTCATTATGTTCATATATGCATTTCTTTGTATAGTCAGACGCCAATCGTTCGAGATCGTCATTCCACGACATTTTCAGCATATTTGCAGCCGACGGAGAAACAATTCGTCGAAGTTCATTGTGTTTATTCAATATCAATTCCTTTTCACTAGTTGTAAGTTGTAGGTGAGTATTTGTGGCGCGACGCTCCAAATTATGTGAACGCCTGTGAAACACACATTCGACAATTAAGAGATTCGAAAGAGCAGCCAAGAACGCCATTTTTGGGCTGGAGTATTTAACCGGTTTTAAATTTATTGAAATTTTTGAAGCAAATTCATTAAATTGAATCACCATACAAATTATTTTCTAAACATCGGCATCCATATTGAAAAACGAATTCAAGGTAATATTGACTGATCTGCCATTAAGCCTTGTGAGAAGTTGACAAAAAATGTATATGCTTTTAGCTTTAATGAAGAAGATTCGGGATGATTTGTGTGCAATAAATAAAGTAACTACTCGCATCTGCTTGCGATCTCGGTTTACCAAAACATTAAAGTTGATTATTCTGGAATCGTATTTAATGTAGAGAAGGTTCAACACCGCAGCATAGTAATTTAAATTAAATAAGATTTGCATATATATATATATATATGAGCAGGTATATGGTAATGAGGTAAAAGTCTGCATATGAAAATAAATAAATCTATCTGTTTCTATGACGGTGTACCTTGAACTTATTTGATATTTACTGAGTCTCAACTGAAATAACAGATCGTATTGCATATACGAGTATGTTTTAAACATTTCACATAAAACTAAATCACATAATATAGAAAGCATATAATCAAAATACTGTATTCTTAATCCATTTTCCGCTTAGTCACATACTAAGTTTTAAACATATATAATCAGGAAAAATAGCTTACAGTTCAACCGTATTAGCGTCATTCGTGCACCATAGCACCACTGCTAAAACATATAAGAGAATTATAGACTGGAACTTCAAGGCCATGTCGCCAACGATCAACTTAATAAGTAAAATTGATTTTTAACGTCAATAACTCAGGTCTCACTGATCCAAAACTTACGCCTACCTGTGGAACTTTTGTTGATCTATTTCGCAAAAGGAAATTACGCATCATATTGGCGTGCTTCGCGGCAGAATTGAGGAAGTTGATTAGCTTATAGTAATATTATTATTATGACTTCATTATGCATTTTTTCGGGATGAAGGTGTGATAAGACATGAAGTAAGTTGCACGTTTGACTTACTCATGTTGCAAGCAAACATAATGCGTTAAATTTACGATCGCTTATTTAGACTTCTATCTTGAGTTTACGATCGTATTGCTTATATTTGTGGTTGGCGGTGTGGATGTATGATAAATGACTGGTACGAAACTTAGTTTTGGTTTATGAAAAACCCTGCCTTCTAGTGATTTATATGCGTGTCTGAGCTGTCCAACTGATTAGGCTAGTGAGAGTTAATATGCACAGCGAATATGATGACGATTTAATGTTACAAAATATGTGATTTTCTCCAGCTTCAAAGCAATGAGCTAACTTAATTTGAGTCGCTAACGTCTGGGCCCATATGAGATGATCGTAATATTGCCATACGTCAAATATTGTGTATATACTCTATAAATGATGACTGCTTGGAACAGCTGGCGGCGATTCTTGTCTGAATTCGGATAATACAGTGGTGGTAGTCTGCTTAGTTGTGATTTTATTGAAAAGCGTCACACATGCTTATGATATTTTTTTGAAAAACTATTTCGCGGCATGTGCAATGAGACACAAACTCGTAGGTCTTTTTCAATAATATTCTACTACATTTGCGAGCGATTCGCGGATAACTCGACGTTTTGTCTTGGTTATCGATCGTTCCTCCATACGAACCAACCGAGATGAATAAAATTGCTCGATTGGATAACTTCAACAGCGAGAGAGCTTTTTACTTTTATCGATCTTGATCGGTAAGTATGTTGATAGGTTTGTCTGTTTGTCTGTTAGACACTTTCGTATCTTACGCGATATCTGACGAAAGCGAGGTTGAATCTGCTCCAAATTTCGCATGTGCATTCATCATATCTCGGACCAGAAGTCTATTGATTGGATGAATTATGTCCTATAATTAGCGAGTAATTGATTAATTAGTGATGGGACACGCGGTGTCACTATAAAGTCAGAGCGAATGAATCGAAAACGCAGTTTCTGTTTTGAGGGATCCCCTAACTTTCGATCGATAAGTCTTCGGTCTCCGAACGATATTCTTGTTTTAGGATTTCGTTAGGTATCAGTGGCTGCTCATACCTGGCCTTGTTCGACGAAAAAGGCACGGGTGAGCGTCATATTCAAATAAATGCTTAGGCCTACTAACACGCACCAACATATATCGAACGTATTAGATATAGAAACATAGAGAAGGATTAGGATTTCGTTAGGTATCAGTGGCTGCTCATACCTGGCCTTGTTCGACGAAAAAGGCACGAGTGAGCGTCATATTCAAATAAATGCTTAGGCCTACTAACACGCACCAACATATATCGAACGTATTAGATATAGAAACATAGAGAAGAATAGGATTTTCCTATTCAATGTCTACAAAGTCGCAATACAACAATTATGGCGTGGTCATGAGTTTTTTTCTGTTTCGGTATTTTGGAAGTGTGATTTATATCTAGTATTCAAATAACTCATATATACTTGAAGATGTCGAACCGTCTTTGTGCCTTAACAAAAATTAACGGTGCCGAATAACTTGATTCAATATCAAAGGGCATTTATGAACTTTACATTGTGTCAAGTCGCTGGCCGCAAGTAAATAAATAATAATACTTGGCTGAAAATTAAGCAACTGGTGCTCAAATGATGATTAGTGTATCGAGGACTGAATTTGAAGTTTCGGATTTTGTATTTTCATTCAACGATTCGGGTGAAAAAAGATTTGAAAAAGTGCACGAATAAGCTGAAAGTTTGAAATGTACCCCAGTTTTTTTGTGATATTGAATAGAAGCGGAGCGCCTCAAGGCTTTTATTATGGCTGCTCTGATTTTATTCACAAATTAGCTCAAAAGCAGGTTAAGCTTCACCTGATGTATACTTGGTAGTTTTAAGTGCTTCGTAGAAATATTCGACGTTTTTTGGATCATTTTGCTGGTTTCGTGCATCTTTTCTTTCCACACCAGGAAATTTGTACTGACAGAAAACCTGTCAGCTTGGAAAGCTAGACACAGAATATTCGCTCAACTGCGCCTGTAGACAAGTTCACGCCTTCGAAACCAAACTTAGAATGAATGCCTGGTGTGTTGATTGATACAGACAAAAAATGCAATCGAAATCTGGTGTAAGAAATGTTACCCTCATTTTAAATATTGGCACTAGGTTGTGTTACAGGAAATTGTTTTGCAATATCTATTTTTTGCAGTCATGGCAGTCTTGCGGTGTCTCCAAAATGTCGTGTCCCACTTGTATCACGTGTCCAACTCGTACCACGTTTCCCACTTGACACGTGGTATAAGTGGGACAGTCTTGCGATAATCGTTTAATTTTATAAGCGTAGTACATTCATATTCGGTTAAATGAAGTGATTCATATCCAAAATTTGATACTAATAATTCATCGCATATATTATTCCCATATTTTATACATGATGAGTCGCAAATATCTATATATTTTATTGAGCCAACTTGGCTATATATTCCGACCAATAATCTGGCAACCTTAAATTCTCCTGCACGTTGCTCTCTTCTTTCTGTGGTTTTATTGAGCGCACCTCTGTCATTAAGCTCCGGAATTTGTCATTTGTAGGTCCTATTTTTCATATTTGTTTTTGTTTATTTAACTAATATTTGAAGTGATAGTAGTCTAACTAGATTAAATTGTGTGTAATTACTGGAATAAACTCACTGATGTTCATTACTACTGTGATAATGCAATCAAGTCAAAGCAACAAATGGTGGATGAACTATTTGGGATCGGGCTTTTTAGGTATTTCTGGTGTTACCGCACATTGGATCACACGATATCATAGTCAGGTGATGGCACCTGTTATTACATATAGCCTACATCTGGGATTCATACTTTTAACGCAAAATGCCAATGAATCAGTCTTGCAAATGACGAAATTTAGCCTCGAACTCGGAAGTTCTTTCCTCTTGTCTGTAAGGGAATGTAAAATGCAATCGGGATTCAAAATTTTTAACGTGAAATTCCGTTTGCTGGGTGGGTCTTGCAAATAAATGAAAGTACCTCCTCGGAATATTTCTTTTTACGGTAGCTGGATTGTGAAAGAAAGGAAGATTTTTACACCGGCCTTGTATTCCTGACACTCGCTGATCATCCTAGGCTTTGTTTACTTGCTTACTGTCTTTTCATATCTCTCCTTCGCACTCTTTCATCATCATCTCTCCTGTCGCTTGCTTCTCCTACTTATACCTCCTTTTGCTGCACCCTTCTTTTTGGCGTCCTTGCCTAATTCTCTGCCTTTGCGCTCTCTCATCATCTATACTGTCTCTTGCTTTTCCTAAATTTCAACTTCTTGCTTCTACTGCCTAACTCGTTGCTCTCTCTGCCTTCTTCTCGTGTTTTTTTCCTCAAAATACGACCTGTCTGGCTGCTGGCATCTCACTGCAACTCCGTCCACCGTGTGGTATTCGAACCCCCTTTCAAATAGGCTTTACGTTTAGCCGCACCTCTATGCTTCCATTGCGCCACTGCCACCGATGAGATTCGACAGTGTAAAATCTTACTTAATTAACAGATACTTATCAACGCCATGCGTGACAACCCCTGACGATACCATTTAAGCGTTGGTTCGAGGTAGGCTACGTGCACTTGGAATGGGCCCGGATGGAATCCTGAAATCTAGGACTAACATGCGCGTTATTTAACTATTGAATGCATGTTTCGTTTTCAATAGTCGCTACTTTTGAATTGGCCACCCTCGTGGCAGGTGAGAATATGTGTGAAACGAAAAGAGTCGAACGTTTGGGTTGCGAAATGAAACAATCAGCGATTCCAAATTAACAGCATTCCAATAGGTTATGGATTTCCCCATGGATGTTAATCATTTTTCATACATGAGCTATTCATGTACATACACTGCGTCCTTTATGGCACGTTCTAAAGGAATGTATGACCACTCGAGTTGCTCAATTTTCGAGACCGCGAAAAGCCATAAAAAGTAACAGGAAACTTTTGTATGGAGTCTGTGAGTCAGACCCTCGGATGCACAACCTCCCGGCCATTTCCGAAAATGCTTGGCCAATTGATGGCATCAGAAGTTTTTTTCAATCACACAGATTACAGCGAACTATGTAAAAACATTAACAGTTTTTCAGTCGGGCTTCGATAAATTTGAAATAAATCACATAACTCAGCTAAAATACAAAAGGCCACATCCTGTAGTATTTTTCTTGACAGTTGAATGAAAATTTTGAAAAAAAGGTGATTCTTAAGATGTGGCCTAAACCAATTCGTACATTCTAAACGTCGGAAGTACTTTCAAAATAAGCATAAAAATTGCAATATAAAGTATATATATATATATATATAAAGAATTTTCTGAGGTCAATTTCGGAATCGGGATTTTCTCCTTAACAATCCTGGGATTTTTCGGAATTGGAAAAACTTGAGAAAAGTACAAAAACAAGTCGAAGATTATAAAAGTACAAACCTCGTTTCTTGTAACATTGAAGCATAAACATAAGCGCATCAGGGCTTTCGCAATAACGTTCTTATTATATATTGCTCTCCGAATACCAATTCAGAAAAGTGAATCTGGTAGTTGGTAAAAAGTATTCAGTACAAACTCGATATCATCAATTACGAGACATGTCGAATCTGGTTGGTTGGAGGATGTCTCAAACCAGAAATCTTCCCCCAAATAGTCTCGGTCTTGTATATCCTATTCTGCGTATGAAGTGGATATTAGGACAAATATAATTATTCAGAAGGTTAGCGTCGTTATTTTAACAACATAACGCGGAAAGTACCAGAGTACAATGTAAACCAGTTTGTTAGCGTCAACTTGCAAAAACACTCCTAAAATAATAAACAAAAGTTTTGTAACGGAAAAGTATGAATCGCGTGGGGGATAATTATGTGAGGATGTTGGGACTCCTC